TGAATAGAATTATACATTGTGTTTTCATAAAATATGTCACTATATAGCAGAGATGCCCAAGCTAGGGCCCAACATCCAAAGTTGGCACATTGTAATCTTTGATTTGACTCATGCCGTCTGAGAAAGGAGTACAAATAATAGGCAGGGTTGGAGCAAATGCTTTTAACATAGATTGTTATTTCTAGTTTAAATAATCTTTTTTGTTTGTTTGTTTTACTGCTGAGCTACAAAAAAGCCAACTGAAATTAAATGTTTCATTTAAATGTTAATTGTACGTAAATAAATACTTTGTAGAAATGTAAATACTGCCACTCGACAGATAGAGACCAATGCAGAAGACATCTAACAGCAAATCATAATAAAATCAGGTGCAGCTTGACTAGTGTAACCACATTCTGTTATAAATTGATCGTTTTTACTGTATTAAGTTCATTACAAAACGTACTATGTTAGTTAATACAAAGCAATGATTTCTAGTTATTTTTAAATATTATTAAATAAATTAGGGACTAAGAGATGGGTTGTTGCTGGAAGGGCATGCACTGCGTAAAACATATTCTAGATAAGTTGGCGGTTCATTCCGCTGTGGTGACCCTCGATTAATAAAGGGACTGAGCCGAAAAGAAAATGAATGAATGAATAAAATTAGGGAATACCAATGGCAGCTTTATTTACCTTCGGCCCACTAGTCTCAATCTAGTTTGGTTTTTGGCCCTTTATAAGAACAAATTGCTATATTTGCACACCTGCTATAGGATCAATCATCAAAAATAGATTTCTTACTATCTATTGGTTACAGCTCAACTATTCAATTCAGTTCAATTTTGTTGTTGGAATACCTTCCTAAATTTATTTTGCATCTAATGGACTACACGATATATATATATATATATATATATATATATATATATAAATATATGTGTGTGTGTGTGTGTGTGTGTGTGTGTGTGTGTGTGTGGGTGTGTGTACATACAGCAAAAACAGGCAACAAACAAAAAAATCCAACGATAATTGAAATTCAAAAATGGAATAAATAAATAAATAAATAAATAAATAAATAAATAAATAAAAACAAAAGAAAGACATTCTCAAGATGCCAAAATAAAAGATTCAAAATACCTTACAATAGACAGAGCTTTTACATTTTTTTACAGCGTTGAGAGACTTCATTAACAGAATAATTTTGTTGACAAATATCTTGTATAAAAGAGATTTTGAAAGTCAACATTTGTGGATGAAAGATTTACCATTTAAAATAATAAAATTTTTAAAATTGTTCATTTGTTTATCACCATTTAAAAAATAACAAATAATTTATTTTGCATTCAATGTTATTAACACATTATTTTTAGCAGAATAATCAGAAAAACAGTCTTTCCAAAATAATTGCACACTCTGACAATCAACAAATAAGTGACATAAGGATTCCTCAGTTTCTACAAAGTGAACATTCTTTCTCAAAATCTGCAAATTTTGTAAAGTAACATGTTGGTTGGGTAAATATTATGTAAAATCTTTAAATGAATGTCTCTTACTTTATTTGAAATGCAAAAATTGTATGGCAGCAGGACTACACATACAATATTTGACAACATATAGACTGACATCACAATGCTGGCACATACATACACCATAATAAAAAAAATCAATAAATTATCTAGGAACTGCATATTAAACTCGTCAATAAGTTAAAATCAAACAACAGACTTTCTGACAGAAAATATAAGGGCAAGCAAGCAGTTAGCGCTAACCATTAGCATTAGACTAAGCTTTTCTAAGCCAGGTGAACACCTAAAGTCAAAATAAAAACAGCTTTCCAAAAATAAAGAGTTGTGGGGAAAACTACAATAAAAACAAAGTTTAATTTATTTTGAAAAGTTATTGGTTATTATAGCTCACCTACGTTATGCCATATTGAATTATCGCCTTAAACTAATAGAAATATGCATAAAGTGCAGTGACAGACAGACAGACAGACAGACAGACAGACAGACAGACAGACAGACAGACAGACAGACAGACAGACAGACAGACAGACAGACAGACAGACAGATAGATAGATAGATAGATAGATAGATAGATAGATAGATAGATAGATAGATAGATAGATAGATAGATAGAACAAACCAATGACAGTTGCAAAACAGTTGTTGTTGTTGTTGTTACGCTTCTGTTCTTTTTTTAATGTGATAGATATAGATAGATAGATAGATAGATAGATAGATAGATAGATAGATAGATAGATAGATAGATAGATAGATAGATAGATAGATAGATAGATAGATAGATAGAAAGAAAGAAAGAAAACAGTGAGTGTATGAGGAGACTGCAAACACTGATAGCGGCAAAACTGTTGTTGTCGTTGCTACGCTTCTGTTCTTTCCACTGCTTTAAAGCGGATGTTCACATTAAACGTGGCGATAAATCGATTTAAGCGTTGACAACTGAACACATCGACAAATCATGTCAAAAACCAGTGTAACAATATACCAGATAGATATGTGATGCATTTATCCTCTTCCAGCTTACAGTATCAGAAAGTCACTGTTATTTACGCCTGAGCACTTTCAGTTGCGAAGTTCACAGGTTACAATAAATCGGAACCGAAAAGATGAGGCATAAAACGCAATAGATTATCCTCTGAACTTACCCAAAGCTCAGTTCCCCAGTCCATGTTCAGCTCCAGCCGCTCCACTCTCCCTCTCTCTTCTCTCTCAGGCTGAAAAGTTATATCCAAACTTATAAGAGCACCAGATGTTCAAAGCGGGATCAGAAAAAGAAGCGCGTCATTCCTTTTCCCGCATTCGCGCGCGACATTAAACAAAATTGATTCAGGTTTGAGAGCTACTTTGCGGTGCCACAAATACTTTTTTTCTGTGCAAAGCGAGAGAAGGATCAACTGGATTTCATTGCCGCGTCACTCCCCAGATCCCTAATTCTTAAAGGAGCCGCCGGATCCAGTTTCCAGCTTCCAGACTGCATGACGATTTACAGTGGGAGGGAGAAGAGCTGAAAACCAAAGGGCGAGCACATGACCTTTATTAAATTATTAAAGCCACACGTTAACAATTATTAACAATACTCTTGTTTACATACTTACTGAGAACTTTTTCTCCTCACTTTTAACCACTTTAATCACTGGTAATCAGTTTGCTACTTTGCATAAAATGATAGCATGATGTAACTATGGGGTACTTTATTTTAATCCATTCAAAATTGTATGAAAATTGTAGTTAACCCAGATAGCAAAATGACATAATTTTATCCTAAAATCAACGTTTCTTTTGATATCAACGTTTTCTTTATTTTCTTTCTTTCTTTCTTTCTTTATTTAATTTTTATTATTATTATTATTATTATTATTATTATTATTATTATTATACGAAAATGAAAATATACAATCACAGTATATTTAACAAGAAATTGAAGAGACAAAAAGAACAACATTTTTGGAAAAAGAAACAACAACAGATAACAAAAAAATAACAAAAAAAGAAAACAAAAAAAACAGGAAGGATAAATATATTACACATTAATGAAAAAGATTATATAATTTACAAATTTAAGTTGTTTTTAAAGCCTTTTTTGTAAAAGAGTTAGACACTATTTCAAAGTAATACTGCAATTCAGTAAGCAAAATATTTTTTAAAAAAAAGGTTTTTGGTTTGAAAATTTACATTTATGGATATAAAATTTTGTTAATAAGATAAGAAGCTGAAGAAAATATGTTTTCTTTTTATGTAAAGCCCCCGTTCCATAATCAACAAAACCAAACAAAACATTCTCCCACAGCAAGGAAAATTCCTCATCAATATTCTCAATTATAAAAAGTGAGAAGTCTTTCCAAAGCAACCTAGAGTAATTGCATTGCCAAAATAAGTGAACCAGGGACTCAGGGTGCTGCCCACAAAATGAACAATTAATTTTAATATCTTTTTTATATCTTACTAAAAGAGTATTGACTGGGTATGTACGGTGAATAATTCTGAATGAAACTTTTTTTTATCTACTTTGTAATTAAGTAGCTATTTGGGATGAGCCATATTTTTCTCCAATCAATATCCAAAACAAAAGAATTCCAATAAAAAGTAAAATTTAGAACTGATACAGTTCCATTAAGAAATAAAAAAAGTATTTTTTTTGTTTGAAGAAGTTGCAGAGAAACAATATTTTCCAACCATTGTAGTAGTCAACGTTTTCTTTTTGCTCATCAGGGTAACGTTAAAACAACGTCAGGCACTCCATTCAAATCTAACCATAAATTGACACAATTGGTTACTTATCCAACGTTGATTTTCAGTCGATCGAAACGGCGTTATAACCTCCACGCATTTTCAACATATAATCAACCTACGTTATTCTAAAATATTTCAAATTTGCATATTTTTTTTTTTGTAAGAGTAAAAATAGATGATTCCCAGAGATGGGTTGCGGCTGAAAGGGCATCCGCTGCGTAAAAAATGTGCTGGATGGGTTGGAAGTTCATTCCGCTGTGGCGACCCCGGATTAATAAAGGGCCTAAGCCGACAAGAAAATGAATAAAAATAGATGATGTTCAGAGACAAAATTAGAAATGTTACATAATATGCTTTAAAAAGATAGAAACTTTGACATATAAGTTTGGTAGTCATTTATTCATTAATTTTCCTTCAGCTTAGTCGCTGTTTTATCAGGGGTCGCCACAGCAGAATGAACCACCATTCGCCCTCCCAGCTGCTACCCAATACTGGGAAACACCCATACATGCTTACATTCACACAAACACACACTCATACACTATGGTCAATGTAGCTTATTCAATTCACCTGTAACCTATGTTTTTGGATAGTGGGGGAAACCAGAACACCCAGAGGAAACCCATGCAAAATGACTGAGAACATGCAAACTCCACACAGAAATGCCAAAATGGTTCAGCTGGGACCTGAACCAGCAACCTTCCTGCTGTGAGGTGACAGGACTAACACCTCAGCCACCATGAACATAGCAAAGTTTGGTATTACTTTTGTTAATAAATCTTGTTTATTGCATCATAACTGAGACAGAACCGTTATCAAATGTATTTACAGATGAAAGTCAAATCAATGAAACAAGAAGTATAAAAAAAGAAGAAAAATATGAAAATTGCAGAACGCATGCAAATGTCTTGTCTTGGAAGTGGTTCATTGTCTTTTGGCAGTTTAATTGCATGAAAATCTTAGTAATATTATGTTATTTATCAAAAATAAAATTAAAATTAAAACCAAATCTGACAGTATAATAAGAAAAAGTGGGCATATCTTTAATACAGTAAATAAAAGTCATGTAAATAAAATGTAAATGTAAATAGCCAACACATAGGACAACATTTTGTCAATGAATGTGAGTTTGTTGCAAAATTTTTCTATAAATTCAAGAGGCCTCTTGCACAGTTAAATTAAATGATGTGCTCTCCCGAAATTAAAATTCAATGTTCAAATGAGTAAAGATTTAAAACATTTTTGTGTTAATATTATTAGGCTATTTCGATCTGTATACTTTGCCTCAGATTTCTTTTTTATGACTCTGATAAGCAATCAAATGAACCCTTTAGACAATCAGATGCATTTACATAAAAGATGACTCACTACAAAGAACCAGCATGTTTTGCATGTGTATAGTCAGAATATATCACACTATTTGTTTAAATACAAAAACATTTTTGATCAATATTTAATTACAACATCAAGAGCAATATTGACAATAATGATTTTTATTTTTTTACAATATAACAGCTGACCCCTGTCATTAGTTTATATTTACAACAGGATTTTAAACAGTTTGTTTTCATCACAGCAGTTAGTATTCTGACTGTTTAGAGCAGGGGTCACCAATCTCGGTCCAGGAGGGCCGGTGTCCCTGCAGGGTTTTGCTCCAAATTACCTCAATACACCTGCCTGGGTGTTTCAAGTATACCTAGTAAGACCTTGATTAGCTTGTTCAGGTGTGTTTAATTAGAGTTGGAGCTAAAATCTGAAGGACACCGGCCCTCCAGGAACAAGTTCGGTGACCGCTGGTTTAGAGAAATTGGTTAAACTGAAATGTTAAAGGTGCAGTAGGTGAGTGTCTTCAGAAACATGTTTAGTTGTGCTGGTTAAAAGTCTCTTCACATTCCAATATTAATGATTAAAGTAAATGATCTAAATGTGTTTATATGTATTTTTATATTCTGGGTGAGGCATAAAACTAAAAAATGTTCATCCAATTAAAATAATGTCGGACCTACATCTCCCGTAATTCCGATAAGTAGCCCAAACTGTCTGTAAACAAATGCAGACAAGAGCTACTGCGTACCTGTTTGTTAGCAGCTCTGCCGTTTGTGCATACACGTGCTGCGCATTCATTAGAGAGAGAGAGAGCGAAAGTGAGCGGTAAAAACATGCTGAATCCAAACTTTTTTCTTAAATCCTGAATCGATATTGTAGTTACTTTTGCATGCTGGAGGAAGGAAGACACCATGGCTGAAGTTTTTCTGTTAGACTGGTAATGTTCTGTTTTAAAGCTATTTTTGTCACGCAGAGCAGATCGAGTTCTTATGAATGGGTTATATGCACAGAAGTGTTGTTCAGCCACTAAAATCTTCCGATAGATTGATGTGACTATTTTCAGTTTCATTCGGTCCTTTTACAGCATCAATAATGTCGATTTTTATTTAGTTTAACAACAAAACAGAAGTACACAGTGCTATTCTGCCTAGCCTGCTTTACTGAGGTGAAGTTGATTTTATAGGCACATTGATTCATTTTTGAACAATGATGACCTGTGACGCGCTCTCTATATTGTTTCAGAGGTTTATGCTAACAGGCTAGCATTGTGGCAGATCACTTACGGCACCTTTAACGTAAAAGACAACACAGACACTATATTTAGGGAAATTTTAGCTTATAAAGATTTTAAAAATGCCCATTCAGTTCGAGGAGTTAAATATTGCCTTTGATGCACTTTCCAGCAGGCACAGGACGTCAACATGATATCAGATTGACGTAGTACCCTGACATTGTGGGGACATTGCATTTTGTTCGGAAATGAAAATCTGGTTGACGTCAAAACCCAACATCAGGCTGATATCAATGTCCAACACCCAACCTAAAATTAACCATATATCAACGTCTAATGATGTTACAGCTTGACATTGTGTGGAAGTTACCACTATGGCGTCTGTCAAACGTTGGATTTTGGTTGCCATACCTGACAAATAAATGTCAGTATTTGACATCAATATTACGTTGGTTTATGATGTTAGCTTGATGTTGGATTTTGGTCACTGTCCAACACAACCTAAAATCAACCAAATGTCAATGTCATTTGACGTCGTTATTGGACGTCAAAACAATGTTGTCTTGACCTAAATCTAACTTAATATAAACATCTTAAGACAATGTGTGCCTGCTGGGTTGTTATACTCTTTTATTTTTTTATTTTTCAATTAATTTCACCTTTTTTTTTTTTATTTCTCAGTGACATTTACAACAACATAAGTGGCCGATTATCTGAGTATAATATGATCTTTTATATGGTGAATTCAGGTAAATGGCCCTCTCTTCTTGAATTTATCTGCCACAGTTTGTCTTTTAATTTAAGTTATTTATTTCTTGAAACCCAAATGATGTTCATTATATCAGCTTTGTTCATGTAACCATATTTACAACTTTTCAAATCAAGCTAAAACTCACTAAGTGCCCCCATTGCTTAACGGAACCATTTCATTTGACTTAAGTGTCGTTACATCATAACGTCCACTTGCTCTTTGCCTTCTCCACAAGAACAACAGGCATGTCAATAATAAAACAAGCAGTGGAATAACCACTACAGCAATTAGAAGGTAGCTCCGAGAGTTGTCTAAAAGAAAACAAGAGAAAAGAATATATTTAGTTAACCAAGAGCTAAAGTTATACACTCTTAAAAAATAGTAACACATAATATATCACGTAATGAAAGGCTGCTCTGAGAATTACGATTTAAAATAAACTTATTTTCATAGTCATGGAGCAAACCTTTTATCTTGACAGTGAAGACCTTCTCCTGTCGTCCAATTTCATTCCTGGCAATGCATGTATAATTTCCAGCACTGGTAGACGTGGCCTTCTCGATGTTGACGGTGATGTAGCGCCGCCCGGTGGAGATGTTCTTGTTATTGAAGCTCCACCACATCTCTGGTTCTGGGTTACCAGAGGAGTTGCACTGTAGAATTATCCTGTAGTCTTTTGCCACAACAAAATCCTGTTGGCTAGCAAACAGTCTTGGAGCATCTGTGTTTAAAGGAGAAAGATGAAATGTTATAATAAATATAAATATTGAAATGTTATATATATATGTTATATATATTTATATATATATATATATATATATATATATAGTTAAAGTCAGAATTATTAACCCCCCTGAATAATCTGAATTATCTGAATTTATTTTTTCCCTAATTTCTGTTGAACGGAGAGAAGATTTATTTAAACACATTTCTAAACATAATAGTTTTAATAACTCATCTCTAATAACTGATTTATTTATTTTATCCTTGCCATGATTACAGTAAATAATACTTTACTGGATATTTTTCAAGACACTTCTATACAGTTTAAAGTGACATTTAAAGGCTTAACTAGGTTAATTAGGTTAACTAGGCAGGTAAGGGTAAATAAGACAAGTTATTGTATAACGATGACTTGTTCTATAGACTATTGGGGAGAAAAATTGCTTAAAGGGACTAATAATTTTGTCCCAAAAAATGTTTTTATTATTATTATTATTATTATTATTATTATTATTATTATTAAAAACTGCTTTTATTCTAGCCGAAATAAAACAAATAAGACTTTCTCCAGAAGAAAAAATATTATCAGACATACTGTGAAAATTTCCTTGCTCTGCTAAACATAATTTGGAAAATATTTTAAAAAGAAAAAAAAAATCAAAAGGGGGCTAATGATTCTGAATTTATATATATATATATATATATATATATATATATATATATATATATATATATATATATATAAAAGATGTTATTTGAATGTACTATTTTTTGTAAGGTATAGTGGTTGCAAACAATTTTTATGTCTTGAATTCTGAATTTGATTAAACTGAGAAAAGTTCAACCTAATTTTTTTTTTAAATTCCGCCCATATAAGCTGTTTGCAATCATTTACCTTTAAAAAAGTGTAAATCCAATGAATTATTTTTCAGTGTAGTTTAAATTAACACAAAAAACACAAAAACAGGCTTATCTTGCAACTTTGAGTTAAACAGCTTAGTTTTATCATTTTTGAATCCCTTTGATTAGCTTAGCATAGATCATTGAATTAGATTAGACCATTAGCATCTTACTCAAAAATTATCAAAGAGTTCACATAATTTGTTTATTTAAATTTTGACACTTCTATAACTACATTCTCTAAGACTGAAAGAAAATGTATTTCAGTGCATTGTATGTAAATTATTATGTATTTGTAAAGGAACTTACTACATGGTAGGTCTGCAATATTATCGCAGTCATTGTGAGTTATGTTCATAATATTGTAATAGGCAAATTAATATTAATGTGCCCAGCATAAATAAATACACCCTCTAAAAACTCCTTAGAATAACACAAAAATAATTTGTCTGTGACTTTTCTTATTAATTTTCTGACCATGCAGGGCTCGCAAAATCTGGTAGCCTGAAGTCCCAAGGCTATTGTTATATACCAAAATCTATCTACACCTTGCCTGCCGGGCTATCTAGATCAGGGGTTCTCAAACTTTTTTAGCCCGGGAGCCCCAAAATAACAATGCCAATGACTCGGGACCCCCACTATTTTCAGAAGTGGTTATAATCACACAAACATTGCACACAACACTCACACAAACCAATAGGCCTATATAAACACAAGCATGTTGACAACACACAAAAGTGCAACAGTCTAACAACCATATCATTTTTTAATTTTATTCTTATTTAATATTAACCTCACCTAATGAGACTGGTGGGCACAATATTTAAGTAACATCACAAGTCTTTTCTTGGTTTAATTTTGGAGACTGTCGCTTAAAGATCATCCTCCATGTTCAGTCGTGGCCTGTATTTATTTTAAATGTATGTGAGTGCTGTAAAGGTGTCAAAGTTTAACTAGTGCCATAAAATCAATCTGGTGCAACTAATGCCATGTTGTTAATCTCAGGTGAAAACCCTAAGGATTCATTCATTCATTTTCTTGTCGGCTTAGTCCCTTTATTAATCCGGGGTCGTCTCAGCGGAATGAACCGCCAACTTATCCAGCACGTTTTTATGCAGCGGATGCCCTTCCATCCACAACCCCTCTCTGGGAAACATCCACACAAACACATCCACACACACTCATACACTACAGACAATTTAGCCTACCCAATTCACTTGTACCGCATATCTTTGGTCTGTGAGGGAAACTGGAGCACCCGGAGGAAACCCACACGAACGCAGGGAGAACATACAAACTCTTAAAAATTAAAAAATTTGCGACCCAGCAACCTTCTTGCTGTGAGGCAACAGTACTACCTCCTGCGCCACTGCTTTGCCCCCTAGGGGTTGCAATCCAATGAAAAAAAAAAAAAACATCTACAAAAAATTGAAAAGCTGATGGCTTTTTGTTTGGATGTTGTATTTTTATCTTCTGTAGGTTACGGATTAACAATGGTCATTTTAAAAGTTTATGCAAATTTATTAGATTTTTGGAAATCACCAAGCGACCCCCGATCAATATCCCGCGACCCCACAGGAGGTCCCGACCCCCACTTTGAGAACCACTGATCTAGATAACCCACCAGGCTCTGTGTAGATGGCTTTTGGTTGCCAGACTGAAAAAAAACAATAGACCCAGGACTTCAGGCCACCAGATTTTTTAAATCCTGCCATTACATTTACATATTGAAGACCATGTTTTTTCTTACACTGGACGTTGATAGTAAGGCTTTTATTCACAGATCCATGTTTGTTTCTTGCAGTTAACTGATACAAGCCACTGTCATTCCATCTGAAACCATTGAAAAGCTGGATCCTTTTTCCTTCTTTGTAGAGGGATAACTCTGGCTTTGGTTCTCCCTCAACATCACAAGGACTGAAAACTGTTTTCTCTTTCACTTCATAGCTTTCTCCGCAGATCAACTCTGGAGAATCTGTTTTTTGAGAGACAACATAAAGATTTAAAGACAAACAAATACACACAACTTTAGAAGAAGGGTTAAGCTTAGACTGCCATTATAAAAGAACAGTATAGTGAACTATGAAACAAGCATTGGATTAACTTAAACTTGACATTTTAGCACTTGACATTTTTTTAATCAAGAACAGTCAAAAGGGGCGGGGTTTTATTTTTGAGCTCCTCCTCTCATCTTTCACTTGCAAACTAACGGTTTGTGTTGAAATGACTCTTTATTCAGACCAGTGGCGTTGCGAGCGGAAGGGCGGCCATTGGTGGGGGGGGGGGGGGGGGTTGGGGCGGGTGGGGCTTTGGGGGCTTAAGCCCCTGATGTATTGTCAAAAGCCCCTGATCTTTTGGAATATGTTGCACTTAAATAAAAATAGGTTGTATAACATTTATTTTGTTATCCAAATACTTAAAAATATACATCATACGCATTGTTGGAGTAAGTAACTATGAGACTAACAATGTTCACTAGCTAAATATACATTGGAAATTGTGATTACATATGAACTTTAGGCGAACTTTAATCATTAGTCTATGATCAGAATATAATAACTTAAATAGATTAGTTTAGTAGTCCAACAATAAAACAAGATGAAAGACATTTAAATGTAAGCACCACATGTGAGATAATGAGTTAGATAATGCAATCTCATGAGAATGAGATAATAATGCAGTGCTTCATGTCTAGTGTGTGACCTACTTTACATTTCTCTCACTCAGGCAGTGTAGATCACTGATTTTGATCAAGGCAGATCCTGTGCTGGACGCAAACTCATTCATCCATTCATTCATTCATTTTCCTTCGGCTTAGTCCCTGATTTATCAGGGGTTGCCACAGCAGAATCAACCGCCAATTTATCCATCATATGTTTTACACAGCGGATGCCCTTCCAGATGCAACCCAGTGCTGGAAAACAACCATACACTCTCACATTCTCTATGGCCAATTTAGTTCATCCAATTCACCTAGCGCATGTCTTTGAATTGCGGGTAAAACCATAGCACCCAGAGGACACTGACACAAGCATGGGGAGAACATGCAAACTCTACACAGAACTCCACAATACCAACTGGTCCAGCCTGGATTCGAACCAGCAATCTTCTTGCTGTGAGGCGACAGAGCTAACCACTGAGCCACCATGCCACCCTTGAACACACACTAAAACACATACTGGTGCAATAGTCTAGTGGTTAGCGCACCGACATTTGGTGCGGTAGCACTTCAGGGCGTCCTGAGTTCCAATCCCGGCTCAAGGACATTTTTCCCCAAAAAAAGAGATTTTCAAAATGTAAGAGGTCACAAATATTTTAACCAGAGCCTCAAATGTGAACGTTTGAAAAATGAGATTTCAGAATACACATGGTGGAAGAAATTTGGACACGAATATAAGCAATCGTACGGTTGCCACAAATCGACATGCTCATCCTTCATCTCTGCTGTCCAAATCCATTTTGCTTTGTGCTTTCTGCGCCATTGTTTCTATCTTCTGTTTTCTGATTGGATAATATTTCGCTTCACATGATAATCTTCGGCTCATATGTAAGTTGAATAATTACAATTCACAATCAGAGGACCCAAGACATTCTTTCAAGCAGATTAAGTCACTCTCAACACACCTCATGCCCAAGAAAATCTGATAAAATAATCTTTAGAACACTGAGATAATCTGGACATACTAGAATTGTCAGAAATCTGCCCGATTATCTTGTGATCCAGAGGATGATGTGACGGTTCATTGGCTGGCGAGTCGAAATCTACAGCATCCAGGCATGTGCACACATAGGGCTCAACCTGTGTAGTGCACATGCCCTTTTTAGTCTTGGATAGAAAGTGCCCTTCCAAATTGATCTGCCCCTGCGACAACACCCCCCCCCCTCTTCAGTTCGCACGTGACAACAAAACACGCATCCCCCAACAGCCCCCACCACCCCCTCCCAGTTCTTCAATTCGCGCGCGACAACACCCCCTCCCCCCACTCTTTAGTTTGTGCGCAAAATTTTTATCCTGCACATGCCCTTTGGATAGTATCTGCACGGAAAGCAACATCAACAAGGTCAACTGTACAGTGCATGTGTCAGACCTGATCATCTGCATTCATTTGTGGCCTAGTATAGACCTTTTTCATGGCTGCTGCATGGAGGGCGCCATAGCGACCAGCGTCTTCCGGTAGAATGCTAAAAACTTCCGTTTACAGCGTGTACAACTGGTAATTTGCGCCCCGAAAATGGGTTTCAATGACGTTTTTAATGGATAACAGAGTGTTTTTGTGACACACAACTTAGAAATGTGTCTGTTAAAGCCGTTATACTGGCATGAAACTTAACAGGTATGAAAGTCGTGCAATTTACAAAAATGAATAAAAGTCTGTTATTGATACTCTGCTGGCTGATTTTCTGTTCATTCTAATCGCGAGCCGTTTGTGTTTTATTTCGTGTGTTGTTTTCACCACGGTTTGTGTTTTTCTGTCATTTCAAAATGACACGCCTATATTTTCACTTTGTCACAGTTATTAAATCAGTGTGTCAGTGACACAGTACAGGCTACGTGTGTGTGTCAAACATTTTGGTGAATTATATTTGTTTGGGCTAGTTATATATTTGAAATAAAGAGAAAATGTTGACTTTAGCGATGACAAGTCTTCATTTAAACTGCAGAAGATGGCGTCTGACAACGAGAGGAAAACGCCTCACAGCAGCTGTTTTCCATTCTATTAGATCGCATTTCTTTAAATGATCAGTCCAGGAGATGGTGCTGATGGACAACAGTATTAGTTCAAAAAGGATAAAAGCAGGTAAAATAGATTAAAACTATCGTTTCAAAAATGCCCAGATGTGACCGTTTATACGCATCAGCTGCAAACCGGAAGTTCTTCGCATTCTCCTTGCGCATACACGCAAAGCATAATGGGTAATTTTGCGTTCCAAGAAAAAGGTCTATACCTTGAAAGTTGTGCACATACAGCTATGTGTGAAATTAAACATAATGGAATGCTGAAAGTAAAACTGTTTATTTATAAACAAATTTTAAAGGGATCACATGCTTATGATTGACACGGCTGGCCCGCATTAGCTAACTTATGATTCACCAATCAGACGATTCCTACCTTAGTAAAAATAACCAAAGCATCTTACCTTAGTCATCTTCATCTTGAAGAATTCCCCCTTCCACCCCCTCTCCTCTTTTTTTTTCTCTATAGGGCAGCACGGCAGGCCAGTGGCTAACACTGTTGCCTCACAGCAAGAATAGCTGCGTCTCAAAAGGGAGCCCTGGGCTCGAGGATCTTATGAGCTCAAAGCTCTCTCCCAGGACAGCATGCCAAACAAGCTTTAATACCAATAATCTGCTAAGTGTGAACTCTTGAATGAGCATTTAGGTCTAGATTCAAACAATATATTTAGCTTTTGCCTAGTTTGCCTTGTTCTGTCTCTGCCTTTAAAACTTAGGCACCGTTTACACTAGTGCGTTTTAGTTTTAAAATGGCGTTTTAGATCAAAAATGATTCGCGTCCACACTAGCGTGTCACCTAGCGTTTCTGAACGTATCTCCGTCCACACTACGCCATCAAAAACGTATATCACTTGACCATTCACGCACTCTGGGCATGCGCGTTCTAGTATAAACAGGAAGCATGCGTCTCGCTCGGCATTTGGTTATTGTTAGTCAACAAACGCCGGTTGAACCATGAACACGACGGCAAAGAAAGCAAGAGAGCTATTTTTGTGGACAGACGACGAAGTCGAGTTGTTACTAAACGTAACAAATGAGTAACTGCACAATGGCCCCTAAAACAGACAATAGTGCATACAATGCTCCCATTTCTGTGTCCATGTTGTTGTTTACATTGAAAGGCTGGTCTGCTGTCTTCCGGTAGCGTTAAAGCCATGTGTTATAGTCATGTGATAGGGGCTTGACGAATAAGGGAGGGATACTAAAGTAGCGAAATCAGGTAACGAATCTCAGCAGCCCCGCCTCCGTTTTCAGATGTCTCCGTTTTCCCTCATCCACACTGAGACGGAGCAGCAGGTTTTAGAAAAACAGCTAATCCATCGTTTCCAAAACGCTCTGTTTTTGGGGCACGAAAACTCTGGCGTAATGTGGACAGATGGCGTTACCGTAGCAAAACTTATGCGTTTTCAAACTAAAACGCATTAGTGTAAACGGGGCCTTAGATTCAGTATGGACTGACAAAGGTAGATTTGGACCCAACAGCAGTGGCGCAAAAAGGGGGTAAGCAGTATATGCGGCGCATAGGGGCGCCACACATGGGGGGGGCGCCATTGTGCCAAAACTATTTTTAAAATTATCCTTATTAAAAGTTTTAAATAATAAAAATAAATAATTATGCTTTGTTAAAAAACATTATTTTGCATTTTATACAAATATAACATTGTTATTGTTTAATTCAAAATCATTTAACACAATAACATGCAGTCACACAGCCTGAAGTGTTCATGTAGATGTAACTGTTTAGATTTGTTTTTATTTTTATCAAAATAAACTGTCAAATCATACATAATGTCAAAAGTTATAAGGTTAATCTGAAAATTTGTCTTCATTTATTATTAATTAATTAATTAAATTATTAGTTTGCCAAAATAAGAGGGATCACACAAAATTTGAACCTGCATACCCCTCAGTAAATGTGTAGTTGCGCCGCTGCCAAACAGTATACATTTTTAAAGAACTGTCATACTTACACTCTACTGTGATGCTTATGGTGCAATTGGATTCACCATAATGATTACTAGCAGTGATTTCATATTGGCCAGAATCTGTTTCGGTAAGAGGTGCAGAAGCATTGACTGGCGATGAATTATGTTTCCAGGAGATGCTTGGATGGGGGTTGCCCACAACAGAATGTAAATGTTTTGGATATGAATCTAAGGTAGACCCTTTCTTTGGTGACCAGGGCTGACAAGATTTAATTTCTGGAGCATCTGGAAACAAAGAAAGAAGGAAAATATAATTCATTGGTATGTATGTTGAGAGCATTTCTAGCTACACATTTAGAAATGAAAACACCATTTTGTTTACTGACAGTGTACAGGAATGCTGAGAGGTTCAGATGTGTTTTTAGGAGGCGGTTGAGGTCCTTCTTCTCCCAGGTTCAGCTCTGTTTCACATCTGAACTGAGCTCCATTATCAGCTCTGACTGGATGGATCAGGAGATAAGATGTTATGTTGACTGGACTCTTGGTAGTGTCTGTGAAGTTGGTTTGATTCACCAGAGTTTCTCCTTTGTACCAGTTGACAGTGAGACTCTCAGCAGGAGCCACATTATAAATGTCACACTGGAGCTCATACTGGTTTCCCTCCTTTATTATTTGATCCACAGCGCTGATAGAAACACTGTCTGGAGTCTCTGTGGAGAAAGATTCACACACTCTGATACCTGCAGTCATCAGCCTACATTTATTTATTTATTTTTTTTCAGAATAAAACAAACACAAATAATAATAATAAGAGAGGAACTCACTGTAAATAGTGACTGGGAGAGCTACTTCACACTGCTGTTTGTAGTTTATGTAGCAGAATGGTGGCTGTATCTCCCAGTCTGTCAGCTGTGACACTCTCCATGTGATCAGACTGGCTTTGGACAGGGGCACTCCTCCCACAGTGGCTTCCCATCCTATCCCATCATGTGGGACAAATGATTTGCAGTCAGCTGAAACACTACTGCCATATTTCACAACAGCTCTCCTTGGCTTTAGTTCAATCGGACATCCACCATCTAGAATATGATGTGAATAAAAACCAATGAAGCATTAATGACACAGGCAGCAGCAGAATTATTTAACAGTACATTTGGCATGCAAATCTAAAATATAATGCTCTCTGTATTTACACTGTAAAAGTGATTTTTTTCATTTAGTGAAGTTTATTCATGAACTAATTTCGAGAGGAGCACGTGATTATGATTGAACACGGCTGGTTCTTCATTAGCATGCATGATCCACCAATCAGGCCATTCCTAACCCACTTTAAAGAGCCAGGGTTTTCTCACTACAGTCATCTTCGATTTGAAGAATCCCCCCTTCCACCCCTACCTTTTCACCTTTCCCTCCATAAGGCAGCACGGTGGCCCAGTGACTAGCACTGTCGCCTCACAGCAAGAACGTCACCGGTTCTAGTCCTTTAACAGGCTGGTGGTCATTTCTGTGTGTAGTTTGCATGTTCTTCCCGTGCTTGCGTAGGTTTTCCCCGGGTCTTCCGGTTTCCTCCCACATTCCAAAAACATGCACAACAAGTAAATTGATAAATCTAAATTTGCAATTCAGGTAATCTCATAATGCCGCATTTCTTTTCATTCAATTTTTAGTCATCAGCTCTTATCAAGGGGGAGTTGTCGAGATCTACCTGAGCTCAAGGCTCCCCTCTCTTCTTCCAAACGGGAGGGAGCCCAGGGCTCAAGAACCTTCAAGCTCAGGGCTCTCTCCCGGGACAGCATGCCAAACTTGCTTATAATCAATCATCAGCTAAGTGTGAACTCTTGAATTTTACTTAAAAAAAAAAAAAAAAAAAGTGAGTAAACCCGGTGCTTTAAAATCAACAAATTAACTAAAAGAGCCCCTATTATGGGTTTTTGAAAAAGACTTTCCATGCGTGTATCACAGCTCTAAATCAAGTGAAATATCCCAAAATAAATCTGCTTCAATCTGAAAGTGTGCTGTGTTAAAACAATTGATTCATCTATAAAAAAAAAAAATCATAGTGGTTCAAATGAATCGCCATGGTAGCTAATCTTCAGCCGTGTCGGCGTAACGTTGATAAAGAACTCAAGCCCCACCCATTTGTTGCGTGCGTAAACCCAGTACTTGGTACTTTTACTTACTGTAAGTATGATTTTTCAGTACTCTATCCACCACTGATGAGAATACTTGCCAAAAAACATCATTTAAATAATTAGAATTTTTCCCCGATGTAAGATAAAATAAGGGCTTTTGCACCCATTTAAACCCATTCTATCTAAGTTATCATTAAACAGGTCACACCATAAAAACACAGCTTTGTTAAAAGTGTCCTCTTCAGAATAATGCAAAACTCACACTTAGGGTCCTATCATACACCCGCAACACGTGTTTTCTTGACGTGTTGCTATTTTCAGACCAATGCAACCTTAATTTTCCCGTCTTCCGCGACAATGTTTAAATAGCAAATCCATTTGCGCCACTTTGTGGACTCATGGGTGTGTGGGCCCATAAAGGAGGTGTGTTAAGGAGGTGTGTTAAAAGTAGATTTAGACACGCCCTTAATGCTTTTGCACCCTGCGCTTTAGATTTTGCGTCTAAACCAGTAAATTAGAGCCCTTAGGGCCCTATCATACACCCGGCGCAATGTGGCGCAAGGCGTGACGCAGTAGTCTTTTGGTAGTTTTAGCTTGGCGCAAGAGTCGTTTTGAGGCGTTGCGCTACGCTGTTTAAATAGCAAATGCATTAGCGCTCATTTGTGCGCCCACAGGCATTCTGGTCTAAAAAGGAAGGCGTTCTGAGGCGGACCGCTGGTGCGTTGCTATTTTGAGAAACTATAATAGATTTTTCATTAGACCAAAACTAACCCGGTCTAAACTCCGGCGCAGAGTTGTGCCTCGCTTAGACACTGCTTAATACACACAAGAGAGCAATAGGCAAATATCTTTACATATGAAAAAAATTCAATATTAAGGATATATATAGGATATAATAAGAATAGATATAGGATATAAATATAAAGTATTAAAATATTACAAAACATTATTTTCTAGCTGACATAAATATGAAAAATCACTGCTTTTATGTCTTCTTCATCTCGGGAGGCTTTTTCAGTTCATTCATAACAATTTGCTTTTGTATAATGTTATTATTATTAGCAGTATTATTTATTATATCCATATTTATATTTGTTTTATTAAAAACAAGCTTAGATTTGCCCACCTGTCAGGTTTTAGACCATATGGGGCACAGCATGTGTTTGAGGATATAACTCAGGTTTTTGAGCACATTTTGTTATTATAATTCATTTATTCGTTTGTTGGAAATTTGAACTGAATTTAGAAATAGTTTTGAAACAAATATTTGCGCTTAACAAACAAAATTATTTATTTATAGGCTAATTGATGTCTGTGCGTAAAGGTTTCCCTATCCAAGAGCGAATGTGAAAGTAGTTCCATTATCTCTCATTCTCACGCAGTAGATGCTCTGTTTAACAGTTTTCTGTAAAAAAAAACTTTTAACTGTTTGCGTGTGAAATGCTCATTTTTTCCACTTAGACTTACTTTGCATCCTGTAAATAGCGAATGCGCTCTTAGCGTGACGCAGCTGGGTCTTAAAGGGAATGGGAGATGAGACTCTTATTGGTTTATTCTCAAAACACACCTATAACTCATTAAGAAAATAAACTCAACCCTTTTAGACCATGCGCCACGGCGCAAGGCAGATTTGCCGTCCTTAAATTAGCAAAAACGCGTCCTGACACGCCCTGAAAGCGTTAGCGCCCTGCGTTTTGCGCTCTGTGCATGGACCATCAAAATAGAGCCCTTAGTCTGAATGACAGTTTCAGAGGGGCATTTGAGATTAATTATATACAAACATGCATTGTGTTCTGGATATAAATCATATAACATTTGTAAGTTTAAGTTAATTCTTTCAAGGTAAATGATTAGATATTACACCATTTCTTGGTAAAATATGCAGTTGAAGTCAGAATTATTAGCCCCCTAAATTATTAGCCCTCTGTTTATTTTTTTTTTCCCCAATGTCTGCTTAACGAAGAGAAGATTTTTTCAACACATTTCTAAACATAATAGTTTGAATAACATCTCTAATAACTGATTTATTTTCTCTTTGCCATTATGACAGTAAATAATATTTGACTAGGTATTTTTCAAGACACTTCTATACAGTTTAAAGTGACATTTAAAGGCTTAACTTGGTTAATTAGGTAAACTAGGCAGGTTAGGGTAATTAGGAAAGTTATTGTATAATGATGTTTTGTTCTGTAGACTATCGACAAATATATATAGCTTAAAGGGGCTAATAATTTTGACCTTAAAATAGGTTTAAAAAATTTAAAACTGCTTTTATTCTAGCCAAAATAAAACCAGTAAGACTTTCTCCAGAAAAAAAATATCATGCTTTGTTTATGACATGAATCATGTCATAAACAATTGGAGACATATTTATTAAATTGTTAGGGACCACAAACATTAACATTTATGAAGTTGTTTGAAATAAATGAAGAAGAAAAAAACTACAAGAATAACTACATTTGCTTATGTGTGAGATTAAGTAAGAGGTTAAATACCTATGTTTTGTGTGACTTTTGTGTGACCTGTTAAGCTTAACAAAGTGGAAACTTACATTGTACAGTAATGCTGAGAGGTTTTGATTTGTTTTTAGGAGGAGGTTGTGGTCCTTCTTCTCCCAGATTCAGCTCCGCTTCACACCTGTACTGAGCTCTATCATCATTTCTGTTTGGATGGATCAGGAGTTTAGATGTTTTACTGACTGGACTCTTGCTGGTGTCAGTGAAGCTGGTTTGATTCACCAGAGTTTCTCCTTTGTACCATTTGACAGTGAGACTCTGAGCAGGAGCCACATTGTGAACATCACACTGGAGCTCATACTGCTTTCCCACCGTCATTGGTCCAGTGTGATTCACAGTGCTGATGGAAACACTATCTGGAGTCTCTGTGGAAACATATTTCAGAGAAATCCAAAATCACACATGTATAGAAAATAATTGTTCGCATGAAATCAGATTTAACAAAATACGTACTATAAATGGTAACTGAGACAGTCCGGGAACACGGCTGTGTGTTATTGAAGTAGATGTAGCAAGAGAATTTGCCCTCCCACTCCGTCATTTGATCCACGGTTTTGGAGATCTCACTAGTGATCTCCACTGTCTCTTCATTTAGCTCCCAACTCAAGCCCAAATATTTGGTGGTTTCAGCAGAGCAGTTTACTGAGAATGAAGTTCCATATTCAACCACCACCTCAGAAAAGTTGAAGGAAATGGGGCAGTCATCTGACAAAATAGAGCAAACAAAATCAAAACGTTATGACAAAACTGATCTACATGAAAACAAGTGTAGGCCTTTTTCACGAACATTTATTACGTTTAGATTGTGGAAGGATAGAATGTCGGTCCACTAGGTGATAAGCATCCGCTGAGGTAAATCAAGAGGTAGTGAAATCTAGCGGATCTGTATCTGAGGTATCTGACTCCATTCACATATTGCTTCGGCGGCCGGCCGGAAGTATCGATATGCACCTATCACTGTACCGGATGTGCATTCGGCAGTTTGTGAAGAAGGCCTATTTAAGAGTCCATAAAGTGTGAATAAAGGCAAGGTAAACAGAACATATACAGTGCATCCTGAAGGAATTCACTGCATTTTGTTTTAGTAATGTTATGCCCCATGCCATATTGAATTCAATTGTTTAAAGGCCAATTCACAAACTTCTACCTCACCAAAAGATAATTTAAGTCACCAGATTAAAGCATGGCACTTATCAATCTATAGCAAACAATCATTCCTACAGTTTGTGTCTTTGTGATGTAAATTGGCCTTACAATGACTGAAGGTCACTTGAGGATTGACATTTAAATTTAAGTGCTACTTTTTCAAATCGCTGTGTGAGATGCTGCAAAATCCAAATACAAGCACAATATGCCTATTAATATGGGGATCCTAGTTCTCACATAATAAACCTGTGTCACGCCTAACAAAATGAAAACTTACATTCAACAGTAATGCTGAGAGGTTCTGATGTGACTGTAGGAGGAGGTTGAGGTCCTTCTTCTCCCAGGTTTAACGCTGCTTCACACCTGTACTGAGCTTCATTATCAGTTCTGTCCGGTTGGATCAGGAGATTAGATGTCATGTTGACTGAACTCTTGCTGGTGTCAGTGAAGCTGGTTTGATTCACCAGAGTTTTTCCTTTGTACCAGTTGACAGTGAGACTTTGAGCAGGAGCCACATTGTAAACATCACACTGGAGCTCATACTGAATTCCCTCTATCATTGGTCCAATGTGATTCAAGGCGCTGATAGAAACACTGTCTGGAGTCTCTGTGGAAACATAATTCAGTGATATCAAAAGTGTTTTAAAAAATCGCATGCTTTTAGATTAAACAAAAACTTACTATAAATGGTAACTGAGAGATTCTGTGAACACGGCTGTGTTTCATTGAAGTAGATGTAGCAAGAGAATTCGCTCTCCCACTCTCCCACTAGAGTTTTGGAGATCTCGCCAGTTTTCTCCGCAGCCTCTTTATTTGGCTCCCAACTCAAGCCCAAATGATCAGTGACGTTGGTGGAGCAGTTCACTGAGAATGAAGCTCCATATTCAACCACCTCAGGAATGTTGAAGGAAATGGGGCAGTCGTCTGACAAAATAGAGCAAATAATAACAAGGAGTTATGACAAGTGTTTTTTTATTCATGGTTTGGTATTTTATGCCTTATGCAAAAGTGAATTAAATTAATTACATCCTTCAAAACTCTACAAACAATACTCCATAATGACAACATGAAATAAGCTGGTTTGAAATCTTTGTTAATTTATAAAAAATAAAAATGAAAAAATTAGATGTACATAAGTGTTAACAACCTTTACTAGAACACTTAAAATTGAGTTGAAGTGCAACAATCAAAAAACAAAACGGCAACAAAATATAAAACAAAATGGAAACAAAAAAAGGCAACAAAATATAAAACAAAATGACGACAAAAAAAACAGCAACAAAAAACAAAATGACAACAAAATATAAAACAAAATGGAAACAAAAAACGGCAAGACAATATAAAACAAAATGGCAACAAAACATAAAACAAAACAGCAACAAAACAAAACAAAATGGCAACAAACAAAAAATATATGGCAACAAAAAAGACAAAAAACATAAAACAAAACGGCAACAAAAACACAGCAACGAAAAAAACAAAATGGTGACAAAACAAAACAAAACGGCAACAAAAAAACACAACCAAAAAATGGCAACAAAATATAAAACAAAATGACGGCAAAAACAGCAACAAAAAAACAAAATGACAACAAAACAAAAAACAAAATGATGACAAAACAAAAAACAAAATGACAACAAAACATAAAACAAAATGACAACAAAACATAAAACAAAATGACAACAAAACATAAAACAAAATGACAACAAAACATACAACAAAATGACAAAAAAACAAAAAACAAAAAACAAAATAACAACAAAACAAAAACAAAATGACAACAAAACATAAAGAAAAATGACAACAAAACAAAAACAAAATGACAACAAAACATAAAACAAAATGACAAAAAAACAAAAAACAAAATAATAACAAAACAAAAAGAAAATGACAACAAAACATAAAACAAAATGACAAAAAAACAAAAAACAAAATAACAACAAAACAAAAACAAAATGACAACAAAACAAAAACAAAATGACAAAAAAAACAAAAAACAAAATAACAACAAAACAAAAACAAAATGACAACAAAACATAAAACAAAATGACAAAAAAACAAAAAACAAAATAACAACAAAACAAAAACAAAATGACAACAAAACATAAAACAAAATGACAACAAAACATAAAACAAAATGACAACAAAACATAAAACAAAATGACAACAAAACATAAAACAAAATGACAACAAAACATAAAACAAAATGACAACAAAACATAAAACAAAATGGAAACAAAAAAACAGCAACAAAATATAAAACAAAATGGCAACAAAACAAAACAGCAACAAAACAACAAAATGGCAACAAACAAAAAATATGGCAACAAAAAAGACAAAAAAACAAAACAAAACAGCAACAAAACAACAAAATGGCAACAAACAAAAAATATGGCAACAAAAAAGACAAAAAAACAAAACAAAATGGCAACAAAAAAACAGCAACAAAAAAACTAACAAAATGGTAACAAAACATAAAGCAAAACAGCAACAAAAAACACAACAAAAAATAAAAATAAAAATGGCAACAAAACATATCATAAAACAACAAAATGGCAACAAAATGGCAACAAAATATAAAACAAAATGACGACAAAAAAACAGCAACAAAAAACAAAATGACAACAAAACAAAAAACAAAATGACCAAAAAACATAAAACAAAATAACAACAAAACATACAACAAAATGACAACAAAACATACAACAAAATGACAACAAAACATACAACAAAAGGACAAAAAAACATATAACAAAAGGACAACGAAACTTAAAACCAATTGACAAAAAAACGGCAACAAAAGACAGCAACACGGCAAAAAAACACATGAAAAAGACATGAAAAAAATATACATATATATATTTATATATATATATATATATATATATATATATATATATATATATATATATATATAAATTTTTTTTTTTTTCGTGTCCAAGTTTGAAACAACATCAGTGAATAAATTATACCGGATTTACTTTATTTTCTAATGCATAAGAAGCAGCACAATATATACCATCCACTCTGGTCAAATTGACCCATATCTCCACACATCTGCTTTAAAAAGTAATGTATTCTGTTTTAATGATAATTAACACATGCCTAAATGTCTGCCATTATTGATGTTAATTTTTTGTGACATGATTCATTCTCTTAAACAAAAATAAAAATACTCTTGAGATGCTTGCAGAGATGTAGAGGCAGTGAATCCATTGTGTTTATTATAGCGGTGTGTTTATTATTGAGGAGATTTTTACTTGCTCATCATTGAGATGTTTAAAGTAAATTTATACATATATATATACAACCTTAACATTACATTTTAAATATTATTCATTGGCATACATAACTACTCTACACCACCAATGATATTAATGACATCATGTGACTTATTGAGGAGACATCAGACTCATTCTGATTACGTACCCCTATATACATTTCTGGAGAGCACCAAACATATCCCAGGACCAACGTTTTTAGCAGTTTACGCAAATCCAGGTAAATGTGGTAAACGTGTGCAAATTTTGAGATCTCAACTGACTGACTGACTGACTGGTCGACCAATTAACAAAACCACCCCCTTACCTAAATCCAACCAATAGTGTTTTCAAAAGCACTGATTGACCAGCACCCACCCACTTCCCTAAACCCAACCGACAGTGTTTTGAAAAGCAATCAGGAAAAAGAAAACCCCTTGTAGCCACCTGAATTTTACTACGTTTTCATATTTTACCACATTTTCACGCTCTTCGTCTGACTTGTGCCCTGTCATCATGGTGAACTCTGCTCTACATCTAAAATCCTCCAATGTACATGACAAGTGGCTAAATGAAGTTAAGCGGTCAGCTGGTAATTGTGAAAAGGAACAGCGTCATACCACCCATAGCATTCATTTTAAAGACGAAATGCAGCCATACGTTCCTCTGGCTACATAATTCACGATCTCTAAAAGTGTATATAGGCTTACGTTTTCAGAATGAGCCTATATTGCAACACTAACACTGTAAAAAATGCTGGGTTCCACTCAATCGATTTGTCTTGAGACAACATAAAGGAATTGAATTACCTCATTAGTTTTTTTTTCTCTTTTTTTTACGTATTTAAGTGGATTGAACATAAAACTATTAAGTTGTGCCCCAAAAAGCTCAAGAATTGTGTTGTGTCAGCTTATTTTAAATAAGCTACAAAAATATAAAAAAATAAATAATTAAAAAGTATATTAATAAGTAAAATAAAATAAGTATACAATAAGTAAAATAAAATAAATAATAAAACAAGTAGTTTGAACAAACATCAAACATCATTTTTTGAGTGTGCCAACCCCCAGAATACCTGTGAGATTTCACAGAAACCCATTCAAAAAAATAAAAAAAAAAGTAGCTGCATCCAATTAAAAAAGTCATTTTTATTATCATTTTCTCAGCATTTAAAAGTTATTAGTACGTAATATTATTCTGTTTGTTCGCACCTTACATTGGAAAAACAAAGTTCAACATGCTTTTGGGCGTTTTAAGTGTGAAGGAAACTTAGCAGACTGCCCACATGTGCTTTTAGGTTTCTATTGAAAGACTTACACCTACCACACCCCATACAAAACAGCTTGTAGCAAAAAAAAAAAAAAAAAAAAAAAAAAAAATATATATATATATATATATATATATATATATATATATATATATATATATATATATATATATATATGTATGTATGTACAAAGTTACTTTAATCTGACTTTAATATTCAGAATTACTCAATAAATCAGATGTAAAATGATCTTCAAAATACCATAGCTTTTAAATACATCTTAGATAAATAAGCATCTAGCTACATCACCCCAACTAAAGCGAAACAAATAGAAATAGGCCAACAAAATACAATAGTTAAAAACACAGCCAAAAATAACTATGAACTCTCTTTCTGGAAGACTTGCTAACTCTTTAGCCATCAAAACACTTAAGAAACCATTGGTTCTGCAGTTAATCCCTTAGAAAAGACAAGATGGAGAAGACTTACCGCCATAAGCAAGAGTGATGAGCAGCAGGGCTATAAACTGTTGAAGCCGAGGCATTGTCAGCATCAAAACTGACAATGATAGGCAACAATGCTGGTGGTGACGCTGGGAATGCAGAATCTCCTTTGCTGTTGTGGGCGAAATGGGTTTATTTTGTTTTAAATGTGATAAGCATGGTGTTGTGTGTCTCAGAACAGGATATCCTGCAGTTTGAATAAGGAAACCACAAGGTGTGAGGCAATGCTTTAATCAAATGATGACGCTTGAAAAGTGAATATCGTAGCTCAAAGAAATAGAGTATGAGTTTATCATTTTACATAGCTGTAAATGGAAATATGAACATTGTATATGCTATTGTCCAAAGCAACAAGCAAAACACCAATCTGAATATACTAAACTGCATCAGATATATTGATAAAAACATTAAACATTCACATTAACGTCTTTTTTGCTTTAAAATAAAATTATTTTGCTTATTTTAAGGTAAAACTCACTTAATTTTGACATAATATTTCTGGAAACAAGACACTTTTAATAACATGTCTAGAAAATACTTCTTGATTTAAGAAATTTTAGATATTTAGACTAGAAACTATACTAAAACTCTAAGCACAAAAGGCTTTTTTTGCAGTGTAGGCATTCAATGAAGAAGTCTAAAGCTCCACGAGTACATTTAGTGCTCATTGTCACATCTTTAGTTGTAGTTTTAAGTATTGTGCTCTTCTTGAGTTGTTTTAGGTAAATCTCAAGCAGGTTTGATCATCATGGCCACTTTCTTTAGGGAGTATGATCCCCCGTGGAACTCTGCCCAGTAGACCCCATCTTGGTATCGACTTCTGTAATGGCCGCCTCTGTACCACACACCATTCAGGTTGGAGTGGGCACACATATGGTACCACCAACCACCCTTCTGGTAATGAGCACAGTTACCTATATGAATAGAGAACGTGGATTTTAAAACCAGAGATAGAGACAAAATTCCCATTACAAAATGGCCTTTGGTAATCTTGTGGTACTGTATAAGTATCACATGAGTTTAGCACAAAAGTGAGCCAAGCTATAAATAACAGAGTTATTACAGTACTTGTTGTTCTCCCTCAGTATTACCATTAGATGTATGTAGAACTTCAGTTGTTTTTATACCAAAACATTACCACAATACAGGAATTTTATATACAGTACAACTAAATCCAGTGGTAAATATTAATGAAATCTGACGGTATAGCACATTTAGTCACAATAATATTACAGGAATATTACATACAGTACATTTAAATCCTGTGGTAAATACTTTAGAAATGTAAAGGTAATACCACATATTACCCCAATGATATTACAGAAATATTACAGTACAACTAAATCCTGTAGTAAATATTAAAAGTTCAAGACACCCTGGATTGTTTTTATGCTTTTATTTTAACGGATCTGAGTGTGTTGAGCATTAGTTAAAACAACTTTAGCACCTGCCAGCTTTTACTGTGGGGAAAACTGGATAATTTTGTCAGCTAATTTCATCTTCTGGGTTTTAAATAATTATCAGGGCAGGATCATCGGTGACGTATCTCAAATCTGCTTTTTTTTGGCAAGGCAAGGGTCATATCTGTTTGTTTCCATGATCCATGGGGTTTGTTGCAAGTTTTTCCATGCGATTCTGTCAGGGTTGATACAGCAAAGCTATTGGTTTGCAGCAAGCATTTTTGTCGTGAGAGCTGTATGAGAATTGGAGAATGGCGGATTTTATCTGTTGAGTTTGTTACCATTCAGACGCATTGTCTATATCCGTGCTGCTGTGTTTGTCTATGTTTAAATTCCTCCAGATTGCAAGCAGGGTCAATAGCCGCGTTTCCACTATCGCGCCTAAAGCGAGCGAGCCAGGGCGAGCCAAGGCCAGTGGCGTTTCCACTGTCACTTCCGGGGCCTAATCGAGCCAAAGCGGGGCTTTCTTGGGGCCAGCGGCCGGCCTTTTTCGGCCCGCCGAATACCTTGGGCCAAGGAGGGCCAGCTGGGGCTTCGGGGCGGAGTGAAAGGAGAGGCGGACAGTTTTCTAATCGCACATGAGTACATGCGCCAAACAAATAAAAAAATAAGGGAAAGAAAACATCTAGCATTATAGTCTGGGGTCTTTTTGCGTATGATCGCCGTTATGTTTCCCCTTTAAATGTAAGGCTGCTGCATAAAATAATAAAGTAGTTTTAATTTATAGTGACGTTCTTTGCTGCGTCCTCCTTTATGTTTCAATAACGCATAATAATCTTTACACCATATTAAATACACATCAGACAGTAAAGGTTTTCGAAAGTTTTTGTCAAGTTTAAAATGTTTGTTTGTTTGTGCACGTTTAGATGCCTGTATGTGTGTGTGAGACCGGGCAAAAGCGCTCCTTCACAGCTCTGTTATGCTGCGAGCGGCTTTTTTATTTATTTATTTTGGAGATAATACACATATAAATACAACAGAAAGACATAAACTTAACAAAATACATGCCCACTTTCGTAGACTTTAAACAATATATTGTCATATCTTGATAAAATAGCCTAAGCTATAATGAAATATAATTTAAAGAAATTACAAATATCGGATATATATAAAATCACATTAAATAAATTAACCAATATAAAATAAACAAAAGCTAGCTATAACAATGTAGGTAGCCTATATACAATACATAAATCAAATCGTTTTAAAGCCACATATAGCCTAACTTTCATTTTACAAAGACCTGTCTGAAAAAAAAAAAGATTTTCGATAGGCTATTTTTTAAAAACAATAAACACCGGAGAAGGTTTGAAATATTTATATAAAGTAAATATTTATATAGGTAAATATTTTTGAAGTATTTGGATACTATGATATTAATCAAATCGCGCAAACAGAGCATTACTTGGGTGAGTGAAAGCAGAATCTCCTATACCTTTTTTTCTGTCACTCAGTCCTGCGCAGCACTCGCTGCTTTAAACGCATATGGGGGAAAGTCCAAACCCAAATTGTGTTCTATATCCTCAAACAAGTGTTTATGTTTTTATATGACGTGGTTAAATTTATAAATGAAACTTTAAATGAAGAGTTTTAGTGAATAGCTGCCGAGCGCAACAAATATGGCTATATTTTATAAGGCTACTCGCTCTTGTGCTGAAAACTTAACACGACTTCTATCAACACAAGGATGTTAAAAAATACTTGCCATATCGAGTTATAAAGGAGAATTTCTGTGGCTTTATATTATGGATGTGTGCGCTCTCTGTGTTGGGTCCCTGCGTTAGTGGCGAGAGAACTCCATGCACAATGCAGTCGGTCGGCGAGTAAACAAATGTAATGAATGGAAATACACAGGTCTGTGCGTGTAGACATTTCATGTACTGCTGTACAGTAACGTGTCGTTTGTTTGTTTCGGTTGTCTTCATTTTAATGGTTTCGTTTCGTGATAATTCTAGGGTGTGCTTTATCTGCCTCATTCCCGCTGAAGTGGGCGGGTTGTGTGACGTTTGATTTGGGGACGTTCTGTGGGTGGTGTTTGCGTGACGCGCTGTGAGCTTTAGCCCGACAGTGGAAACGCGACATGATTTCAGCCTCATTTCTCAACCTTCCGGGCTATTGGCCCGCCCCGGCCCGATTGAAGCCCTGGCTCGCACTGGCCCGATAGTGGAAATGCGGCTAATGGTTGCAATAGATAGGGCAAGAGGCCTGCTGCACTGCTATCTACTGTGTCTGCATTCAGACCTGAGGATTCAGGAGGAGAGAAGTCCTCCTCATTTATATTGTTTATATAGACATGATTATCTTTAATAATAATAGAACAAATTGTGGTTATGTGTAAATGAAATTAAGATTAAAATATGTAGCAGGACATTAAATTAACTTTGCATTTAACTTTGTAAACTATAAAATAATGGGTCTCCTCACAGTTTGTGTCTCATTTTGTGAGCCAACTGACAACAGTTGTTCTCCTCCTTCTTTTTCCTCTGTTCTCTCCTCCCTCTGCTCGCAGAGCTCCACGCCCATCTCTAAGCATTTTTTTTAAAGATTCAAGAGGTGGACTTGAACCAAAAAAGGGGTTTCATGACCCCTTTAAAGAAATCTGAATAGGACATTTTACCACAATAATATTACAGGAATATTACAGGAATATACAGTACAACTAAATCCTGTGGTAAATACTTCAGAAATGTGAAGGTAATTACATATATCACTATAATAATATTGCAGGAATATTACCTACAGTACAACCACTGTAAATCCTGTGGTAAACACTACAGAAATAATAACACACATTTATGCAAGAAAATTACCAGAATACTATATACCATAAACCTGAGGTAAAATTTCCCCTAAAAACAACCCAGACTTGTTCTGAAAACATACCACTATATACATTTCTGGAGAGCTCCAAATACATCCCAGGAGGTATGACTTTTTGCAGTTTTTGTTTTCAACAATCCGCCAGAGGCCACTGTGTACGCTTTTTGAGATCTCAAATTTTCTCCAGAGTGCCATTTGCGCCTGTTGTTCTCGCGTAGATCCACCAGATGTCGCTGTCCACTGACTGACCCACCCTCCTCCTTGCCTAAACTCAACCAATAGTGTTTTCAAAAGCACAGATTGACCAACCCACTTCCCTAAACCCAACCAACATTTTTAAAAAGCAACCCAGAAAAAGAAAGGTCATCGCCTGATTTTTACCACATTTTCAGATTTTACCACATTCTCATCCTGTTATTTACTTGTTTATTTTTATTTTTGGCTTCTGTTTTTGTCTTATCTGCTTTCTGAAACCGTTCTTCGCTGAACTCAAACCTCATCATGTTTAACTCCTCTCGACGTCTCAAGTCTGCCGACTTACATGACGAGCTACTGGACAAACTAGTAACAGTGGGAAATCCATCCATATGGAGGTAAGCAGTCAGTTAGTAAGTGTAAAAAGGAATGGCGTTATACCGCCCTGTAGTGTTCATTTTAAAGACAAAATGAAGCCATTCGTACATCTGGATAATTTGTGAACTCCAGAAATATATACAGGGCTACGTTTTCAGAATGAACCTATGTAGCAAACAACACAGTACAATTACCACACTAGTTTTACGTGTTGCTGTTTTATGTTATATCATATGGAGAACCATATGGGACATTGGGTACAGGGTAGAGGACATAAAAAAGATCACCTGTGTAGGCATCCTTATCACGGTCCAGAGTGGTAAACGCTTTATTGTTGTGCCATGAGAGGGAGTCTCCCGCAGTACCTTGATAGCTGCCTAACCGTAGACGATACCAGTCGCTCTCTGGTTCCACCCGAAAGCTGTCATACTCTGCATAGACTTGTCGCCCTTGCCAGTCTTCCATAGCTACTCGCAGCTTGTAGGTGGCTTGAGAGGTGAGCCAGTACAGGTGCTCAAGACCCAGCCAGTATTCTCCATCCAGATTCCCAAAGCCTTGCTGTGTACAGACAATAGTCATGTTGTTAATTTGAATAATAATTGCATTACAGCTGATGCTTTTTTACCTCAGGAGTGAACACTATTCTGCAGCTTGTGTGGCATAACGGCTTAAAAGTACGGCCTGCTAGAGCTAATCCCATCCCATGAAGGTCCATTGACTAATTACTTGCTACCAATGGGTAATAGATAGTGGCTTGTAAAATTAAAATGACAAGTGAACTGAAATAATCTAATAGTTCTGGTGAGATTCTGAAATTACACATACACATTTTACTATCCTATGCTATTGGTACTGTAGGTCAGTGGTCCCCAACCTTTTTCTAACTCCGGACTGGTCAACGCTTGACAATTTTACTGCGGACCGGTGGGTTGAAATAATAATAATAATAATAAACGTGAATCCACTGTGTACTCATGTGGAGCTTTATTAGCACATTGCTCCAACATTACAATGCTATTATAACATTAGGAAGTAATAACTTTATTAACAAATTGCTCCAACAATATAACATATTATAACATCAAAAACTGTCCGTAGCGCTAAATCAATGAGAGCCCTGAGCTTGTTTCTTTGCAACGAGATGGTCACATCTGGGGGTAATAGCAGAAGGAAGATTGCCAGAAAGAGCGTGTGCACGTCTAGAATGTGCTGACATGAGACGTCTGCTTTAGCCAATCAGAACAGTCAGACGCATTCACGTCCGCGCGGTTTATGAAAATAAAAGCCTTTGAATATTTTTCCAGACACATTTAGCTGCTTGAAATTAGGCAGATAACGATTATATGTTCTTCTTAATGCAACTGTGTAAATAATTATCGAAAAGATGCTTATGATAAGCCGCTGTTTGGTTACCTCCAAGTTTTACGTGTGCTCGTGAAACAGCCAGTGAGCACCAGCACACACACACACATATCATGTACATCTCGACATGTGAAAGTGTTTCTGCCATTACTTTAATCCAGAACACCAGCAGAGTTGTTGTCTCGAACACTGTTTTAAGGCCACCGTCATTTGTGATCTCCAGCAGTTGGTCTTCTTCTTGCACAAACATGCTGGATTTAGCTGGTTTGTTGACAAATGGGTCACGTATCCATTCCTTGGCCGTTTGTGGGTCCTTTGAGGTTGGGAAGTAGAGCTCAAACTCCTTTAACAGCGAAGACTGGTAATCGTGCACCAGCTTGGTGAGTGAGGGTGCAGACTCAGTCTCACACAAAATCCCAGCTAATGTTGGAAACATGTCCAATTTGCCTCTGTTCACACGCCATCCCCACAAATCCAGTTTGGCTTTAAATGAAGTTACTTTATCTGCCAACTTAAAAATAATTAATTCTTGTGCGGCCCGGTACTAATTGATCGGCCCGGGGGTTAGGGACCACTGCTGTAGGTAACATGGCAATGATAGCATGATAACTGAAGTACATCTAGATCAGGGGTGCTCAACCCTATTCCTGGAGATCTACTTTTCTGCATTTTCAGTTGCAAACTCATATCAAACACACCTGCCTGAAATCATCAAGTGTTCTTCAGTCCTAATCAATTGGTTCATGTGTGTTTGATCAGGGTTGAAGCTGAGCTTTGCAGGAAGGTAGATCTCCAGGAACAGAGTTGAGTACCCCTGATCTAGATCACATGTATAATATGGTGGATACATTAATGTGCTAAAACACTATGGCCACCTGGCTGATATTCCACTGAAACAGCACCAATGGGCTTTCCTTGACTCTTGAAGTCCTGTGGTATACTGACATTAGCAGTAGATCCTTTAAGTCCTGTGGGATGTGAGCTGCAACTAGACTTCTATTGGAACTTGTGCCGTTGAGGCTACCAATGGGTGCTCACCCTGTGGTCTGTGTGGGTCCTAGTACCCCAGTTTTTGGATGAGGACTCTATACTGTCAGTGAGCACCGACCCTTGGATGAAATGTTAACCTGAGGTCCTGACTCTCTGTAGTACTTAAAATATGACCTTCAAAGTAAGTACCAGGCATCCTGGACTTTCTTGCTAGCCTTTGTCTATCAAGGCTTTCTAACCATCACCATGTATTCTAATTGGCTTCATCCAGGTGGACTAGGTTTGCAACAATGTTTGTATGATGGATCCCAAGTTTTATAAGAAGAACTTTGCACATAGCAATACACCCCCTCTAGAGGACTCACAGGACCAGCAGAATATAATGCATTTGTTATGTTACATTCTATCCATAACCATCATTACAATGTCACAGTCCTTCAGCCCAGAAAAGATTGTCTTTATTGCCCTCGTGTATTGACCAAGCGGCAACCTCCCGCTCTCTCTCAGGAAGCCAATACGGAAGTAACTAAAACTGCAATTCATCTGAAATTCCGCTAGTCTTGGCCGCTCCTGGCTCCAAAACAGAGCAAATTTCAATTGAGCCCACTGTTAGAATGGCCAAATTTACAGCAGAAGAAAAGGTGTTTACAGCCTGGTACAAAAAAAGATTTTGGTTAATACAGCTAATATTACCCTTCATGACAACTGTAAGGGGGGTGAATTTTTTTATAACTCATCCGTTTCCTTTATATTAAGTTATATTAAGTTTGCATAATTAAGGGCGTGGTCACTTGAGTGACAGCTAGGTCTCGCTGGTCGCCGTCACATCACCTCAGCTGAATCCTGCAGATTAGCCACTGAACTCGGCATATTTATCGTATTTCTGTGTTGTTTTATGTGGCTTTACACAGTCGACTGTCTTTTGGACTTGTTTCCTACATTAATTTGATGGAATGTCATGCTGAGTGAACTTAATTGTGCTCACAAACCATTCACGTGGCCTCCGTTTCCCATGTGAGTAAAGTTATATACTTATATACCATTTCTATACATGTATTTGTTTTATTTAAGATCATTTATCGTTTATATTTATATTTAGAGCTGTAATGCACTCCAGAATCTGACGAATTGATTAGCTGTAGGCTCTAGAACAGTCATTTGACGTGGTGTCATACAGTGTTATGCTTGATTTCATCAATAGTCTTGCATTAACTAACACAGACTATATCTGAAGTGTTTGGAAATAATTCGCGTTTTCCTCCTGTTGAAAAACGTCATAAGAACAATGTTTAGTGGCTCAATGTGTTACAGCAGTGTTTTTAAAAGACTAAACACTTTATTGATATAGTATACAACCAAGCACAAGTGGTCAGAACACAAACGAGTCACAGGTGATAAAATATTAAGCGTTCTCCCAAAGTAAAGTGTGTCTGAACCAGGTCCAAGCAAAATGCAGCATGCGTCTGTAGCTCCGCTCACTCTCCGCCTATTTGCCCTTGTTTGGTATCCCGCCGTGGGTGTGATGACGCGCGAACAAAATGGCGACGGTTGGCCGCGCCTACTTGTGGCTTCTTTTGCGCTCTTTAGAAACCTATGGGTGACGTCACGGATACTACGTCCATATATTTTACAGTCTATGGTATTGACAAGCACTGGAAACAAGTCATTCTGTTTCAGAGATATTCAGAATATGGCACCTTACCATAACAATCCATCCTTTGTCAACATCGATGAAATCTTCCCGATGTTTTGGCTCATCAGTGTGCATACACATTACACAGAACATTTTGTAATGGTCATAAAGTTGCACAGTGTTTCTTTTGGTGCTGAATATGTTTAAAACTAGTTTCAGAGGCTGAATTTTTTGGAGAATTTTTTTTGGAAATGATCACAGATGTTATTAAAGACACACTAGATATATGCCAACAATAGCCCCACAGTGATACCACTAAATATGTGGAAACTTTACCGGTAAATTCAAAAAAGTGCTGTTCACACAGGCGAGGACGTTATGTAATTTTTCCGGAAAAGACCATTCACACATCCATTCCAAAATACCGGTAAATTCGAGAAGGGTCTGGCTGCAGACTCGGTGCAGTGCAATCTGAGCTGCATTCAATGCTTTTTAATGCGCTCACCTAACCCCACCTTTAACCCTACCCGTCACAGTGATGTCACTCACTCCATTGAATGCATTGTGTCTGACATTGCATCGATGCAATCTCAGCTTGCATCATAAAGGCTGCATCCAGATGCTATTGGTAAATTCTGACATCATTAACCAGAAATGACCTCTAAATGGCTGCGCTTGTATTTGTAAACATTTGACTACATTACAAACTCTGTGGATGGATTAGTATTGTAAACAACTTCGATGAAAACATATAGAGAAACATATTCGCATGTCGAGATGTACATGATATGTGTGTGTGCTGGCACTCACGGGCTGTTTCACGGGCACGCAAAGCTTGAAGGTAAACAAACAACGGCTTATCATAAGCATCTTTTCGATAATTATTTACACAGTTGGCAATAAGATAAACATATAAACGTTATCTGACTAATTTCTAGCAGCTAAATGTGTCTGGAAAAATATTCAAAGGCTTTTATTCTCATAAACCACGGACGTGAATGCGTGTGACTGCTCTGATTGGCTAAAGTAGACGTCTCACGTCAGCACATTCTAGACGTGCACACACTCTTTCCGGCAGTCTTCCTTCTGTGTTCACACAGCGCAGCATTCCGGCAAATTACTAGTAATGTTACAACTTCTCTTTCGGGAAAATAGCCAAAACGAATTTACCGGTATTTTCAAAAAGGGCCTGTTCACACATGATCACCTGTGTGGTCTGTATGTGTGAAAGGGGCTGATGTCAAGTTTAGTACACGTAAGTAAGTAGTATTTTGCTTCCTGCACCTTATACTGGTCCCAGGTCCTGAAGAAGTTGACGGAGCCGTCCTGTCTCCTCTGGATAACAGTCCAGCCACCCTGAGCTCTGCTTTGGTCACACCAGGCCTGCAGCAGACGGTTGGTGTTGCGTGGTCGCAGCAGGTAGATGCCACTTGTCTTCTCCCCTGACTCCAGCACATTATGACAGTCATGCCATGGCCCTTTAAAAAAGCAAATGTACTTGTCATTTGTTATATATTGTGAATTATCCAGTTTCCACATCATGTGTGTCTTAAGACTTGTGCCCACCAGGAAATATTATATACCTAATATATACCTATTTTTATACAATCTATAATTTATCCCCAATGGATTTTTAATGGCGATAAGCAGAGTGAATGTGCAAACTCACTCCCAGAAGTTAGATAGTACTTAATAAAACAGAAATACCCTGGTACACAAGATGGCACTAGACAAACCTTTTCTCACTAGTTTGAAACAGAAGAAGTACACAGACACTCTTTGAGTTCCATTTAATAGGCTTATCTCTATGCTCTAATTCCTTCAGAGGGTTCCTTTTAAGCGTTTTGGATTGAGACTTTAATATGGCGGCCGGTATTTTTGTGTGTTTTTATTGATATGTCCTGTTTGGAATATAGCGAGTGTTTAAGTACATGGACTCTCCAAGTGTTTCACTTTTTTTCCCAATTCAGTTCACCTTTGTTTTTATTACAATTTAAGTTGTGTCAAAGCAGCTTTACATAGAATATCTTAGTAAACTGAAACAGTGCAGTTCAGTTTTTAGTGTTTAAGTTCAATTCAGTTTAGCTCAGTTCAGTGTGGTTTAATAATCACTACTGAAAGTCTAAACACTGAAGAGCAAATCCATTGATGAGCAGCTCTACAGATCCCGAACCATGCAAGCTAGTGGCAACTGCGGCGAGGAAAAAAAACTTCACAATGAATGAATGAATAAGTAAGAAAGTAGGTAGGTAGGTAGGTAGGTTGGTCAATTAGCCATTTTGAATGAATGAGTGAGTGTGTGAATGAACATGTACCTGTTTCCCGGTACTGGGGGCTACATGAGTTAGTGCACTTTCAGGGTTGGGTTGTGGAAGAAAAGGCATCCGCATGGGCCAGAGTAATTCACGGATCATCCTATTGTGTGGACTCCAGATAAAAAAGTGAGCAAGGTGAAAAGTGAGTAAGTGAGTGAGTGAGTGAGGGAGTAAGTGAGTGAGTGAGTGAGTGAGTGAGTGAGTGAGTAAGGGCCTACTCACACTATGCCATCCGTACCGTGCCAGGGGCCCGTTTCCCTGATCGTTTGAGAAGTGTGAGTGCGCTTAATCGGGCTCAAGCACGGTTTACTTGGCCGGCCCTGGCCCGGTTGGAAAAGGTGTGCCTGAGCCCGGTTCACTTGGGCTTTGGCGCGGTACGCTTGTGTGTGAGTGCAAAACGCGACAAAGCCCGAAACTGAAAGCGAGACGTGACTTTTAAGGCACTGTTTCATATGGATTTATTAATCATTCTTACTGTTCAGTGAACGCAAACTGCCGCAGTTTATTAAAGACGCAAACCCCTCACAGCACGACAGCTGCGCGCCTTCAGCAGACCTCCTCATTCCTGCAGCACGAGGGCTTTATGATTGTTTATGAGCGCCAAAAGTGGTGGATCTGTTCGGTGAAATATCTGACTGCGTGTCCCCGCATCTCTAAGGACTGTTTGGCGAAATATTTGACGGCATATCAAACGACTGAAATGATATAACTAGAGAAATCTCCCCTGTGCTGCTGCGTGAGAGAGCGCTTCTCACAGAACAGCGCTGCAGCGATGACGTAAGCGTGCCGAAGCCCGTTTGTGGTGTAAGCGGGGGCCGTCACGGGGAGACGGGAGGGGGGACAAGCGTGCTTTGGCCCGGTTCGAGGCAACTGTACCTAGTGTGAGTATGACCTAAGAAAGTGGATATTGTAATTGTAAATAAAGTATGACACGAGCTTCCTATATTAAACATTAATTTTTAAGTAAAATTCCTGGTGTTTCTTCATTGATTTCATTCTCTAATCAATGCTATATGTTGTGCTATATGTTGTGACATTATTTTGTAGTCTGTTTTGTACTTCCATTTCCTATCGTCTTAGCTTTTAGCCAGGATGTGACATAATTTGTGTTGGAAAAACACAAACATCACAATGGTTTTAATGAATTCTGTGATGTTAGCTAGGTTGTCTTGCTTTCATACATTAAATTGAACTTAACGAATGTCAAGATGATATTCAATCACAATTGATATATTTAGCTTTCCGTGTCCACCCTGCATCTGAAACTTTGAGAGAACTTAGGCAGTGGGTGGTTCTTTCAAGGCGTTTTATTTAGAATTAACATTCGTATTGAGATGTGTGGCTCTATAATGAACCAGCAGTGTGGAGGAGCTGGATGGACGGTAAGGAAAGACTGCATTTCTGTCGGTTCAGAGCAAAGCAAAGGTCACCATCTGTATATTCTCCAGTACTTTACTTATCAGAGCTCACTATGGAGGAATTCACATTCCCACATACCAGCAGAAGTATTTCACTACCTTTAATCACATTTACAACCTAATATCACACATACACCTAATACACTTCATTGATGTACACATAGACATCACATATAACAGCATGTAAACTATGTTTAAATATAATAGCTGTTAAAAGCTAGTTAATTGGTGACAGTTATTAGTAACTACTAAAGTTATGGTAACTAATAACCTTAACTTTTCCAAATTTCGTTGTAATGCAAAAATAGCTGCTTTGGAACAATAATTATTGTATAGATGTACAAATAAACTTGAATTGAACTTATATATATATATATATATATATATATATATATATATATATATATTAATATATAACATAATATTATATAATAACTTATAAGATATAAACTCTGAACTAAAAAAATATATTTTAGTTTAGTTTTTTTTACAAAAACGTAGCTTATTTTATTTAATAAAGGTCAACTACAAGCACACAAAGACCTTCTTTACATAAGTACGATGGTCATTTCTACACTAATATATAGCTCAAAATCCTCCCTCCATTGTAAATGTCAGCATGAGTCGGCTTTATAACCGTTTAGCGGTGGCCGTAACTGGCTGTAATTGGCATCTGTTTAGCACCTGAGTCGACGTGTGTCCTGTAATCTCACACTCATGTTGGTGGAGGTAAAAGCATTGCAGTGTAATTCCAAGGTTGTGTCACTTCAGAAGCTTTTCTAAAGGTTGTGATTAGCTGGCTTTTGTTATGTGAATGTGTGTGTGTGCTGGGTAACAATACACAGCTTTTAACCTGATAGTCAATGTGAAGACTAATGAGGGTCACAGCCCCTGATAAGGCACTGTTAGGAATTTTCCGAGATAAAGTTCACTGGTCGCTGACACCCGGGCTTCTGAACTCCTACCAGTGAAACACTGATGTGACCCATATCTTGGATTCTCACACTTTCTGCATCGCTGTTACTATTGCCGATGCTTTAGGTTAACGTTTTGGACACGAACTTTCATTTTAAACTTTTAAACCCGACCAGCTGACATCAATAATGCTTCAATGTTATGGCGTGTTGAGGCGAGCTGTGCTGTTACTTTACAAAGCTTGCTTTAGGATTGGTGCAAGCATAATAACATGAAGGACAAAAATGTAACTGAAGAATCCAATTCAATAAGGCTTTTTGGCTAAAGTTTACACTGAGACTTATAATGATGCTTATATTAGCATTGATGCTAACATACGATATTGTTTTGTTTATTATAAGGATGTGTTGTAGTTTTCTCATCCATAACTTTAAAGCGTCAAGTTATTTAGTATCAGATGGGTTCTCATCATTCGATCATTTTCCTTCGGCTTAGTCCCTTTATTAATCAGGAGTCGCCACAGCGGAATGAATCGCCAACTTATCCAGCATATGTTTTACACAGCGGATGCCCTGCCAGCTGCAACCCAGTATTGGGAAACACTCATACACACTCATTCGCGCACACATACACTATGGCTAATTTAGTTTATTCAATTCACCTATAGCACATGTCTTTGGACTGTGGGGGAAACCGGAACACCTGGAGAAAACGCATGTGAACATGGGGAGAACCAACACAATCTCACGGCAATTCGTAACGTTTTGATTTAGTGGCTAATTCATATGATCTAATTTGTACAATTTAGTACATTTTGCTCATCACCCAATGACGTCTGGGGTTAGGGGTGGGGTTGCGTGCCACGCCTCTTTTTTAAAATCGTACATTTTCATTCGACTGAACTCGTAGGAAGTCATACGAATTAGCAACTAAACTGACAAAATGTAAAATACTTACGTTTCCTCATGAGATCAGGCTGGGGAGAACATGCAAACTTTAAAACTTCACACAACTGGCTCAGTTGGGATTCAAACCAGCAACCTTCTTGCAGTAAGGCAACAGTGCTAACCACTGAGCCACGGTGTCGCCCTCAGATGGGTTCTGATTGACTTTATTTTATTGTGCATTAGCTTGTAAAAAATCATACTGAAGGCACTTTTACATGACCATGATGTACATAATATGCAAATATGCATGGAGATGGTATCATTTTCAAAAATGTGCACGATTTTTAACAGTTTGCATTGTTAGGCCTCTAAAACTTTAATTGCAAATGGTCTCCTAACATAATTTTAACAATATTGTTCCTGATTCCTAATATATACATTTCCTGATTTATTTTTAAAAATAAGTTGTTATTGTTATAGTTATATGTCGTATTAAAGAGATAGTTCACCAAAAAATGAACATTTAATCACTTTTTTTCTCAACCTCAGGTAGCTCTTAATCTTTATTAGTTAACTTATTTTCTGTTGAAACAAAAAAAAAAAAGGATTTTCTGAAGAATGTTGTAAACTGGCAACCATTGACAAGTACTGTTAGTCAACGGCATCCCGTTTTCAACATTATTATCATTTATTCATTTACTCATTTTCTTTACTGCTTAGTCCCTTTATTAATCCAGGGTCACCACAGTGGAATGAACCGCCAACTTATCTGGCATGTTTTTACACAGCGGATGCCCTTCCAGCCGTAACCCATCTCTGGGAAACATTCACACACAGTCATTCACACTTTTTAGCCCAAAATTTAGCCCACCCAATTCACCTGTACCGCATGTCTTTGGACTGTGGGGGAAAACAGAGGACCCGGAGGAAACCCACGCGAACGCAGGGAGAAGATGCAAACTCCACACAGAAACGCCAACTGACACAGCCAAGGTTTAAAACCAGCGACCTTCTTGCTGTGAGGCGACAACACTACCTACTGTGCCACTGCGTTGCCTTCTCAATATTATTCATCAGAAAAAAGAAACTGTAATAGGTTTAGGACAAATTATTAGGAAGATTCAACAATGGCAGAATTCATCATTTTTACCATGCCGATCATTTGTCTTTCATATTGTGACATATTTAGTGAAACAGGGTTATTATTTGTCAACTGGGGAATTGATTGAATGCTATTTGCTGTGATCTCATGTTGTTAATTTCTCAACCAGTAGATGGAGACTATAGCTGGTGTTTTGTGGCTGATTGAATGCATTTGACCACAGCATCTACCATTTTCAACTATACCACTACGCTTCCTGACAAAAGTCTTGTTGTCGATCCCAGTTGTTGGAGCAACAAATAATAACTTGACTTCTAGTTGGTTATTTGGAAAAGTGGCAGAAGGTTGATTTTTTCTGATGAATGATCTGTTGAACTGCATCCCAATCATCACAAATATTGCAGAAGACCTACTGGAACCCACATGGACCCAAGATCCTCACTGAAATCAGTCAAGATTGGTGAAGGAAAAATCATGGTTTGAGGTTACATTCAGTATGGGGGCATGTAAGAGATCTGCAGAGTGGATAGCAACATCAACAGCCCGAGATATCAAGACATTTGTGCTGCCCATTACATTCCAAACAACAGTAGATGGCAAATTCTCCAGCAGGATAGCGCTCCTTCTCTAACTTCAGCCTCCCCATCAAAGCTCCAGAAAGCAGAGAAGGTCAAGGTACTCCAGGATTGGCCAGCCCATTCACCAGACATGAACATTATTGAGCATGTCTGAGGTAAGATGATGGAGGAGGCATTGAAGAGGATTCTAAAGAATACTGATGAACTCTGGGAGTCCTGCTAGAACGCTTTCTTTGCCATTCCAGATGACTTTATTAATAAGTTATCTGAGTCATTGCAGAGATGTATGGATGCAGTCGTCCAAGCTCATGGGAGTCAAACAAAATATTAATTCTTTTTCCACACTGAAAAAAAAATTATTCAAAGATGATTCCTTGGATTAACAATTTCTTTTTACGTTAAGAGGTTGTAAACATTTTATTTGGGCTGAATTTGAACAAACAATTTAAGTTGAACATTAGGTGCAGTAGTGCTGTCGCCTCACAGCAAGAAGGTCGCTGGGTCGCTGGTTCGAATCTCGGCTCAGTTGGTGTTTCTGTGTGGAGTTTGCATGTTCTCCCTGCCTTTGCGTGAGTTTACTTGGGGTGCTCCCGTTTCCCCCACAGTCCAAAGACATGCGGTACAGGTGAATTGGGTAGGCTAAACTGTCCATAGTGTATGAGTGTGTGTGAATGTGTGTGTGGATGTTTCCCAGAGATGGGTTGCGGCTGGAAGGGCATCCGCTGCGTAAAAAAACTTGCTGGATAAGTTGGTGGTTCATTCTGCAGTGGCAACCCCGGATTAATAAAGGAACTAAGCCGACAAGAAAATGAATGAATGAATAAATTGTTTGCAACAGTTCTGCATGCAACACTTTTTTTCAGTGCACTGCAGCATGACTTTATATTTTAAATCTTACGTTATTTCTGTTAAGTTCCAAGACTTTTGTCTAAGCAAAGTCAGACCTTACTGTACTAATTAAATAAATAAAAAACAAAGCATGATCATATTTTATCTTGGTAAAATAAGCGTAATCTAGAGGCCTTTGCCTTTTATATAAGCCACTTCTGATACCAAATAAACAACTAGAAGTCAAGGTATTATTTGTTGTTCCTAAAGCTTGTATAGGTGACAAGACTTGTGTTAGGTAGTGTGGACGTTAAAACATTTTAGACCCCATTTACAGCCTGCAAAAGCTATATTTAGAAATAAGATTAACAAAACTGCCTACACCACCCATTTTGTAGTATGCTTAATAAGATAAATCACGTAAACACTTTAGCAGCTACGTATACACCCTGCCTTCAGGGATGTTTTGCTACCTGGAGATTTAGTGCTGGGGAAACTGATGAAGGGTGTCTCTGTTGGTGGACCAGGAGAATCATCAAAGCTCTCCAGCGGTTCTTGGCGAGCTTGTGCCTGATGAAAAGGGGCACTTTGGTCTCTTTGGACATCTTTAGGCTCTGTGTTTATATTCACCAACACGCTCGACTGTTGAGCCGGAAGTGATGTCGCTTCCTGTTAAGAAATTTATAAGAAATCTCACTTGGTTTTTGGGGGATGCACCTGCATGTCTGAGTGAAACTGAAAGCTCAGATGGATCTTACCTGCAGCTCTTTAGTAGGGGTCTTGAGCTGGCACTGTTTCTCCAGAAGGGTGATTATCTGGCTCTGGTTGTTCACTAGAGAAGCGAGTGTGTCGTACTTTTTCTCCAGGTCTCTGTAATTGCTAGACACCTGATGCAGCTGAAATTCATCACACAACAGCAACAAGAGATCAAAAGTTTTTAAAAAGCGCAAATAAATTCATTTAAGTGGTCCAAATATAAAGTGGCTTTCCATAAAATAAATGTGGTTAGTGCTTACCTTATGAAAAAAAGTGCATGTGTTTGTACTGAGTATGCAATTTTAGTCTATTCAAATATTGCTTTTTGAGTAGAATATCTTTTATAAAACGCTTAAAAATAAAATTATATTATTTACACTTTTTAAGTTTTTAAAAACTTTTTGGTGTCAAAATTACACACTTTACTTTAAAGTACTTTACTTCATGCTACCAAAAATACCCTTTTATTTAAAGGTTCCTGTGTATTACTATAATAACTTTAAGTGCTGTTTGATATGCAGTTTTGTATTTAAAGTCATTTTAAATATACTAAATAACTTTACTGCACTTGGGTACTTACAAATATATTCAATAAACAACATTCAAGTTTCAACAGAATTAGAAGATACATTAAAACATCTCAGTTTGCTGTATATGCCTGTCAGTGGATTTTAATGTGAATTTAAACAATACTGTATTTTAATTTTAATTATTAATGGTAAAAATAATGTTTCTTAAGGAGCAGTTGTGTACCTTTGTAAAAGTTGTACTTAAGGTACAGAAAAGACTTTTTATGATACTGTTCCTTTAATGGCACAACTGAAATACAGGTACACAATTGTTGTTATAAAAAAGGTACATAAGTGTTGGACAACTCCTTTATTATTACAATATCTATGAAAAGAAATATTACAGGATAGGCAAAGTGAGTTTATGAATAATTTCCATATCAAAACAAAAATCATCATTTAAAAATATATGTTTAAAGAAACTCATAAATATTATTAAGTTCTATAATACAAAACAACTGGTAAAACAATACTATAGTTCAGGGGTGGCCAACCCTGGAGAGCCCCCTTCCTGCACATTTCAGTTGCTACCCATATCCAACACACCTGAACCAATAATTAGGACCTGAACACCATGTGATATATACAGGCAGGTGTGTTTGATATGGGTTGAAACTGAAAGGTGGCTCTCCAGGAACAGGGTTGGCCACCCCTGCTATAGGTATTGTAAACTAAACTTTCAGGCATTTTTAATAAACATTTGGTTATCGTTTTCTGAAAAATGCATTTCATTATTGATATCTGCACCTTTTGGCGTTAGCTTTCCAATACACTTGAGCTGGCAAAAGTCCTGCATATGCAGTGTTCATGCAGACATTTTAGTATTGTAAAACTGATCAAACATTGTGCATATCTCGTTACAACACTTTTGAATAATTATATTTCTATTTTAACATTAAGGAAATTAAATTAACTTTTAAGTGATTACAAAGGTATTGTGTGAAAATTGGAAAAAAAAAGTGTTACATTGTACATGGGATAATGTGATTCTGTATAATTTTTTGTGAAAAGTGATGTGAAATGATAAGCAAAAATAGATATTTTGCTTAATGAGAAAGTATTTTTTTATTCCTTATTGTAAATGGAGACGATACATTTACACACAAAGAAATGTAAAAAAAAACTTGTTTAAAAATGTATTTGATATTTTATATTTACTGAAAACAAATTGACACATTGACACATCACAAGTTTAAAGCTTAAACACAAAAAAAATTATAAAAAATAAAGCTAAAACTTGACTTTTAATTTAGGAAAAAAAATACTATGGAAGTCAGTGGTTACAGGTTTTAGCTTCATCTTTAAAATATCATCCTTTTTGATCTGTTACTCAATTTAGAAACTTAAAGAAAATCCCAGAAAAGAGAAGATTCAGCCTGTTCGAATGTTATCACCCGATTGATTGGGTGTTATCAGTGGTTGTCAGCTGATAGATATGGGCCAGAAGGGGCCTTCTGCACCAACTGGTAGGCTCAGAAGGCTGTTATCATCCATCCACATGGTTAAACAGCTATAGATCACATACGGCTGCGGCCAGAAGTTATCGAGAATTATTTATATTATTTAATAATTTTACCATTATTGTATATTTTTAACACAACCCTAACCCTAAACTTAACCGTCACAGTAATGTTAAAACAGATCTGGAGTATTCTCTATTAATATAGCTGATTAACCATATCAATGATAACAGCCTTCTGAGCCTATACCAGTAGGTGCAAAAGGCCCCTACTGGCCCATATCTATCACTGAAAACACCCATTCAATTGAGTGATAACATTCAAAGTGCGTGGAAGATTTAAGCTAAAGACTCCATTTCCTTTCTATAATCTCACTGCAGTCCTTAAAAGACAACCGAGATCTGAATCGTGTGTCTTCCCAGCTAGAAACCCTATACTCTTTAACTCTACCTGTGATGTAGCATTAAGCAGGAGCCCTTCGAGCCGCCGTTGCTCCTCCACCTGTTCCTTCTTCTGGATGATCTCGCTGAGCAGCTGGGCGTAGAGCTGGGCGATGCGAGCGTTCATGTTGACGCTCTCCCTCCGCAGAATCTTCATCTCACTGGCCAGAGTACCTTCCTCCTCCAGCCGCCCGCGCATCTGATCCAGCTGATCCTGCTGCAGCTCCAGCAGCGCCCGCAGAGACGCCACCTCAGAGCGGTTCACCCGCGCCGACTCAGTGCTCAAGCAAAGAGCCCCTGTTAGCTTCTGCTGAGGCACGATGAAGGTGTAGGAGCAGCGGCTTTGTTTAGTCTCTGAAGCTCGAGATGGCCTTTTCTGGTTGGCATCATCACCCTTCGAGGAGCCTGAAGTGACGGATTCCTTGCGTCCGTCTATACAGCACAATCCAGCACAAAACAGCAGGAAAAGCAAGGCACAAGATGCTGGAATCTCCATAGATCCAATCAACTGTCTGATAGAAGCCTGAAAAAACAATAATAATAATTAATAGCTATTCATATCCCAGCATGCATGCTTTTGCAGGGCCCATGCTGGCTTTTTGTGGGCACTGCGGACTACGACCAGCTCACACCAAACCTAAACATGCTGTGTGGGCTAGCCCAGGTATGGCCCACAGTTGTGGGTAGCCCACACTTTCAGCCCACTTTAATCCTATGAAGGCCTGGTGTGGGTTAGCCTATTAACCCTTTAAGGTGCACTCCTTGAAAACATTTTTTGGCCCACATCTTGTGTTGAATAATATGCTGGCACAACTCTGATAAATAGTAATAAGCAATTAACATAATAATGATAACCTATTGATATAAGGTCAACCATGGTTATAATGCCTGTTAAAGAGTTAACTACAGCCTTATAGCTAACTGGTGATTAAAAACTATTTCCTGCATCACCTTCAGGCCCGTAGCCAGCCTGGTATAAGGGTAGTTCTTTTTTCCTCACAAAAATTGGACCTTTTTGCAGTTATACGCCTCAGTTTCTATTTAACTATGAGATTTAAATACTGCATTTCAGTGAGTTTTTGCTGGATTAGCTAGTCAGATTTGATCATAACCACAGTTTTTGATGTCCTAAAAATTGCAATTAAAAAATTTAAAACAAGATTAATTTTTAAAATACAAATTTATTACATCATATAACATTAGCAAAAAACAGCAAGTCTTAAAGTAAAAAACAACTGTAGTCTACTATCATTTATTAGACAAAAAACAAACTGGCCAGCACATTCAACTGTACTCGGTCACAATTTGGCCATTTTAATAAAAAATAATAATTAAAACATAATTATAATCATAATAATAATACAACATTTGTTAAATCTTCAGATTTTTTCTAGCCTCTTTGGTTGGATTATTTTCATTATTTATGATGGCATAGCAGTCAAAATAGGACGAAAATAAGACAAATGAGCTCATATATGGGACAACCTTTATCACTTTATCACTTTATCAGGGTCTTTCGAACCACCCGAAACCCCCCTGGCTACAGGCCTGTGAAGTTAGAACACGTTTTATGCTTATAGTAAACATGTTTTAATAGAATTTTGGCTGTAAAAGCGTACCTACAGGTGTTTCAAGCGCAGGGCAGATTTTCTCCTGGTCATAATTTATTGTGTTTATATTAATTTTATCCAAAACATGAAAAAAAGCTGCCTGCCTTTTCTGCCTTTTTGCTCTTTTCGACCAACAGCGTTACTCAGTATCCATGCATGTCATGTCGCATCAAAGATTTAAATGTTACCAGTGGGTTATGTCACGTGACTCGCGTCACATTATTTTGACTTTGAGGCTCTATGGGATTCGAATTACTGGTCATAGTTATTTAAAATTACACTTTATTACAATATATATTGAATATAAATATATTATATTAATTATATAATAAATACATTATATAATATTAAATTACATAAAATAATAAAAAGGACAAATTTTGGACCTTTTGGCCGTGGGGGGTGGTTCGTTCGAAACCACCTGAACCCCCCCCTGGCTACGAGCATGACCTTTAGTATTTCTGTTGCTGATCTAAAGGTGGCATAAATGCAGCAATTCCAATTATGTTCATTAAAATCACCATGAAACGTTTAAATTGACAAATTCAGACGTGAAGAAGTGAAGAAAGGTCGTTTCAAGGTGGAGGGAAGGTTATGATATTTGATTATGTGGATTACGTTCAATTTATTTTGATTAAATAATGATGTGCACAGATGCATCGTTTATAACAAGAACTACCATATGCATATTAAAAATTACAAGAGTAAATACAGATTTCATGACAGTTGATGTCTGCATGAAATGGAAGTTGCTGTAAACCAGGGATGTCCAAACTCGGTCCTTGAGAGCCGGTGTCGCTTAGTTTGAACCCTCTCAGGCTCAAATTAAGTTTTAGAAACAGGAAAAATCTGATATTTGGGGAAAATTATCATATGGGGTAAAGAATCCTGACTTTTTTTTAGAGAGACCTTCACATGCAAGGCGTTCTGGGATGTTGCAGATTTGCAACATTGGCCCAGTGTGGTAATTAGACACGGACGACTATGCGAATATACGAATATGATATGAACAAAATACAACAATACAACTTTTCAAACAATGTAACAAATTCCTTTTCTGTGGCAGAACAACAACAAAAACAACATGGGATCCAAATCCAATATCTCAAATCCTCATTGAGTAGGTCATGTTTCCAAGTCACTTTGCCATGTGGTACTCCAAGTCTTTTGTGTGGACAACCAAGTCCTGCAATGGTACTTTTGAGTAAGTAAAAGATAGTTAATTTTTAACTGTTGCAAATCTGCAACGCCTGCCTTGAAAGGGTAACTTCCTTCAACATAAGCTGCCTGGAAGTTTCTACACTCTCAGAAATAAAGGTACACGAGCTGTCACTGGGGTGGTACCTTTTCAAAAGGTACAAACTTGTACCTAAAAGGTCCATATTAAATAAATAAACCACAAGGGTACGTATTAGTACCTGAAAATAAAAAAAGTGTTCCCCTTAAACTTTTTAGGTACTAATATATACTTTTGAGGTACCAATATGTACCCTTGAAGTACAAACATGTATGTGGCGAGGGGGCGTGGCCGAGAGCCGGAATGGATTGAGGCCACCGCGTAAGTGGATACACCTGCGGTGCGCACCTGCCTCGGATCCCACGGTTGGAGCTCTGGACGATAAAAGGAGGAACGATGGCAGAGGAAGCCGAGAGAGGACCGGGCCCGGACATATTTTACTTTTGCTTTCAGTTTGACGGCAGTCTCCGTGAGGAGCTGCCGTCCGTTTGTTTTGGTTTAGACGGTAGTCTCCGTGAGGAGCTGCCGTCACTGTTATTGATAAATAATTTAAACCTGCATCGGTTCTCCGCCTCCTTCTTCCCGGCGGCCAAAGGGCCGTGAACTTCCTTACAATGAACTTTTTGAAAAGGTACCACCACAGTGACAACTCCCGTACCTTTATTTCTGAGAGTGTAGTATACATAGAAAGAGCTTGATTAGCTGATTCAGTGTCTGATTAGTGTTGCAACTAAACTTTGCAAGACACCGGCCCTCCAGAACCGAGTTTGGATACCCCTGCAGTAGACTTTTATTTCAGTTTGATGGTGTATTTCTTACTGAAACGCAATACAGAGTAGGGGGTGGGGTTTCACTTTGTGATCTTGCTTTCATCTTTCACTCACACCAAGCTATTGGGTAGGGATTTGTCTAAGCATATTTACCCACCCTGTCAAACTCTACCTGGAGGAAACCCATTCAAACGCAGGGAAAACATGCACAGAGAAAAATCCACACTTAAATGCCAACCGACCCAGCCGAGGCTCGCAACCTTCTTGCTGTGAGGCGACAGCACTACCTACTGCGCCACTGCGTCACCAGTCCATTTAAGTTATCTGTGTAAAATTGTCTTATAGTTGTATAGTGTCATGTGGAAATGTTATATTATATGAATATCCTCGCTGATCTGAAACTTCAGTGTAACTGTTTTAACATCGCAACCACACTCTCAGTCAGTCATGAGCGGAACTGAAGAGGCCTGCACTTTTTGATGTATGCCAGATGTTCCTGACGATGGGGGGTAAAAACTGTTTAGCCTTTTTTGGGGTAATTAGCAAGTCAACAGAAGCAGAGCCTGAGTCAACCACAACGTTTCATCTGAACGTCAAAATCAATTGCTAAAGTCAATACTGGATAAAAATGACAGCTTTGGCACACATCATAAATGTTGTAAGCAATTAACAGTCTAAACAAGGACAACTCCTAAAAACTGTTTAACAAAGCTTGAAAAACACCTAGATGTCTATGGAATCGGGGCTCAAGAAGCATCAGAATCAATATAGAGACACATAAAAACACTTGAAAATTTTCAGTTAGATTTATGATTTATTTATGCGTTTGAGTAAAATGTAATTTTTGGGTCACACTTCATTTTGATGGTCTGTTTGTTGAATTTAAGTTACACTGCAACATGCCAACTAATTCATTGGAAGTAGACTGTTAGGTTGGGGTTAGGGTTAGGGTTAGGGTTCGTGTTGAAATGTACTTGCGAAGTTTCTTATAGTCAGATAAATGTCTGTTAAAGGAGCAGTATCAACAGATACTAAGCAGACAGTCTACTAATACTCAAATGAACCATCAAACTAAAGTGTTACATTTTTTGTTTTATTACAGTAAACTACTGATGACATTTCTGAGATATTGAACATTTCTTTACATAAAATAACAAAATTTTTTTTAGATATGTTTGATTTTCAGACAACACAAAAACAAAATACACTGTAAAAAGTGATTAGTTACTTAAAGCGAGTAAACAATTGCCTTAAAAGCAACAAGTTGACCTTACAAAAATAATATAAGTAAATCCATTGTTAATTGGAACTGTTAAGCTGACTTATTTTTTTTTAAATTGATTATTGTACACACTTTTTAAAGTCAACTAATCTGTTTTTAAGTGTCAGACTATTTTCACATGTTTTCAAAAAAATACTGCAATTATTACAATATTACATATTTAGTGCTTTTTTAAGTCTATAAAATCTACAATGTATTGAATTTAGAAGACAGCTAAAGTCTCAGATTTATTTTACTGGATGCCATTTTGCTATAGATACAGAAAAGCTGAAAAAAAACAAAAACAAATACAATGATTGAAAAAAGTGATTAGTTTACTTTTATTTAAAAAATAAAAGTGAGTACAATTTGCATAATACTAAAAATTAAGTCAACTTAACAGTTAGTTACAATGGGTTTACTTACATTACTTTTGTAAAGTCAACTTGTTTCTTTTGAGGCAATTGGTTTACTCGCTTTAAGTAACTAATCATTTTTTTAAGGTGTATACTGTAAAAATGCTGGGTTCCACAATTTATTTGAGTTGGGACAACATGAAGGAATTAATTTAACTTATTTGTTTTTACAAACATACATGGATTAAACATAAAACGATTAAGTTGTCCCCCCCCCCCCCCCAAATAAAAAATTGTGTTGTTTCAGCTCAAATTAAATAAGGACTTTGAACAAACTACAAACATAATTTCAGTTAAGAAATAAAAATAACCCATATTTTCAATCACAACAAATGAAAACATCTGTTATTCTGACCAGTTGTCATTTTCTGAAAATAAAGGCTCTAAATACTAATATTTTAATAGGAAATTTGGAATACATATATTTATACCTTTAAATAATAAAACATTATTGTATTTTCTCAAACCCATAACTAATCATTTCTAGTAAATCCAGAGAAACAAATAAATTCATTGTGTGGTGCATGTCTATATATACTAGAAGTTTCACTCTTATAATATACAATCTGTAAAATATATATATATATATATATATATATATATATATATATATATATATATATATATATATATATATATATATATGTGATCAATTATTCATGACAACATAATATTTTAGCTAATTGTAACTCATTTAAATAGGTTAATTATGTTCCAACTTAATTTTATAAGTCACACAAGCTGATTTAAGTCAGTTTAATATACAATATTAGTTCAAATGACTCATAAAGTTAATTTGATTCAGCTTAAAAAAATAATGCAGCCAGGATTTTTTTTACACTGAGGGCTATTAAGAGAATATTTTAAGAATGTATTTAATTCCCAATTAATGGATGAGATTCTTACCTGTAAGTAGACACAACATTTATATGCCAATTTTAAGCATTTGGTAAAAGAAACACTCATTAAACAATAACTATTCTGATCAAAACAAATCAAATTATGAACAAATGTTCTTACCTCCTCAGTTATATCCTCAGTTATGTTATATAGTCAGATCAACTCTGAATGATGCGGGCGGATTTTAGAGCCAGTGGTCCAAACTGTGGTCTTTATATGTAAAACACCACAATATTAATAAAAAGTATCAAAATAAGATGGCTTTAATAATTGAGCATGACTTCAGCGGTGCACGCTTGGTTGGAGCTCCAGCTGCTTTTCAGTAGAGATGTTCAAAGCAGACTCCCAGACTGACAGTAAACTTTTAAAGCAGGAAGATCAGCTCCTGTCAGAGGATCTGTAAACAAAGAAGTGTGTCATTACAAACCATCCTAATGAGTGCAGCCCCTTCTATCTGCTGGTCTGTTTCACCCACCACCTTCTCCTTCACTCCCTGCCAAAACACCAATATACGGGATATACTGAAAATGTAACGCAACATAACATGTCTTTAGGTTTTACAAGGTTTTACAATAAATCAAACCCCTATATTACCTAAAACTTACCCTAGACAGGTTTAGGAAGGAAAGCAATAATTCTAATCATTACACCAATCAAACACCAATTTACATATTTAATAACTTCAGACTTATAAAGCTTCTTTGAAGTTCAAAAACACCTCCCAGATATCACAAAATTCATTCTTATTACACATGTGAGCTTTTCAAGAGCCAAACATGGTATTAATTTTCTCAACCTTAGTCCAATGGAGAGGCGATTTACCTTTTTCCAACACAAAGCAATTGGACTTCTTGCTTTGGTAGACAAAGCACAACCATCTCCATATACTGTGCATCCGGAAAGTATTCATAGTGCTTCACTTTTCTTCATTTATTTATGTTACAGCCTTAGCACAAACCAAGCATGAAGACAAAGGAATTGTCTGTAGACCTCTGAGACAGGATTGTCTTGAGGAACAAGTCTGAGGAAAGTTACAGAAAAATGCTGCTCTGAAAGTTCCAGTGAGCACAGTGGTCTACATCATCTGTAAGTGGAAGATGTTTGGAACCACCAGCGCTCTTCCTAGAGCTGGCCGGCCATCTAAGCTGAGTGATTGGGGGAGAAGGGCAGTGATTAATAACCCGATGGTCACTCTATCTGAGCTCCGGCGTTCTTCTGTGGAGAGAGGAGAACCTTACAGAAGGAAAACCATCTGTGCAGCAATCCACCAATCAGGCCTGTATGGTAGAGTGGCCAGATGGAAGCCTGAAATTTGCTAAAAGGCGTCTAAAGGACTTTCAGACCATAAGAAACTAAATTCTCTAGTCTGATGAATCTAAAATTGAACTCTTTGGAGTGAATGCCAGGTGTTACGTTTGGAGAAAACTAGGCACCTCTCATCACCAGGCTAATAAGCATGGTGGCAGCATCATGCTGTGGGGATGTTTTTCAGCAGCAGAAATGGGAAGATTAGTCAGGATAGAGGGAAAGATGAATGCAGCAATGTACAGAGACATCTATGAAAACCTGCTTCAGAGTGCTCTTGACTTCAGACTGGGGTGACGGTTCATCTTACACCAGGACAATGGAGTGGCTTCACAACAAGTCTGTGAATGTCTTTGAGTGGCCCAGCCAGAGCCCAGACCTAAATCCTACATCTCTGGAGAGATCTGAAAATGGCTGTACATCGTCGCTTCCCATCCAACCTGATAGAGCTTAAGAAGTACTGCAAAGAGGAATTGGCAAAAATTTCCAAAGACAGCTGTGCCAAGTTTGTGGCATCATATTCAAAAAGACTTGAGGCTCTAATTGCTGCCAAAGCTGTATCAACAAAGTATTGAGCAAAGGCTGGGAATGTTTATGTACATGTGTTTTTTCAGGTTTTTATTTTTTAATAAATTTGCAAAAAATTCAAAAAAAAATTTAACTTTGTCATTATGGGGTATTGTGTGTAGAATGTTAAGGAAATTAATTTAATTTAATTAAGGCTGTAACAAAAAATGTGGAAAAAGTGAAGTGCTATGAATACCTTCCAGATGCACTGTACATTCCATATAACCCAAAGGCTTCAAAATGCATTTCCCTATATTGGAAACTAGTGCTTATATATTTTATTATGCGCTGATGTGTGTACTGATACATAAAGAACAGGGGCGTACAGTGCAGGCTATAGTTCTTTCATACATTTTCTATCCAATGTTGTAAAATCTGTTTGTAAGCATTAAGATTTTAATATCATTACTTATTTTCAAAACCAGGGGTCCTCTTGAATAGTGGAATGTTCCTTTTGTACTGCACATGCAAATATTAAAATCTAACCACAAATATGGCCAATTAATTAATACATACAGTAGTTGTTGTTTTTCATTTGTGAATTTATTGTATTTAATTTTACATTGAGAAGATAAAGGTTCCACTTATTTACAAAAATAGTCAACAGAGAAAAAATTTACATTTACATAGAAAGAAAGTGTTTTGAGTGTCAATGGGCCTGGAATGCCTGGAATTGCTTAGGGCCCCAAATCACTGAAGTCTGCTCCTGATAAAGAATATTTACAAATGAAAAGTGTGCTAGAAGTTTATAAATGAATCAGGAATGGCTTGCAGTTAATTCCACATGTTACATTTTCACATGCTGATATTTTTGATACAGTTGAAGTCAAAATTATTAGTTCTCCTTACATTTTTTTTTTATTTTTTTCCCCAAGACAAGACTTTTCAGTACATTTTTTAACTTTATAGTTTTAAATTTTAATAATTAATGTCTTTTGCAATATAATAATATTGAACTAAAAGCTAATTAATTAATTAGGATAATTAGGAAAGTTGGGTAAATTAGTTTTGTTAACTGGTTTGTTCTGCAGAAAATAAAAATCTATTTCTAAAGGGGGCTATTAATATATTGTATTAAATTATATATATATATATATATATATACACTATATTCTGTATATATATTGAAAATATGTTAAGTAATACAATACAGACATAAGTACTTTTTTCTTTGCATCAGAAGATTATGCAGCCTAAAACATTTTAAAATAAGTAAAGTAAATTGCAAACAGTTTGTTACAATTTCTTTGAGTTCAAAACACTTGTAATGTTCATTTTGTAATGATTTAAACTTTCTTTAGGTTTTAAAATGAATTTACTAACATTTTGTATGCACATGTTTATAAGGGTGTATTCAACCAAACATTAACATTTACTCACTATTTACTCGCCCTCAAGTGATTCCAAATCTTTATGAGCTTTTTAATCTGTTGAACACAAAAGAAGATATTTTGAGAACCTAGCCAATGACTTAGTAGGAAAAACAAATACTATGGCAGTCAATGGTTACAGGTTCCCAGCTTTCTTCAAAATGTCTTCTTTTGTGTTCAACAGAAAAATAAACCTAAACAGGCTAGGAAGACGTGAAGGGTGAGTAAAGCATGACATAAATGTCATTATTGCGTGAACCATCCTTTTAACAGTGCATGAACATGCAGTGGTTCATCCCAGCCGAGAGACGGCGAGCGCAAAATCAAACAGCCAGGGTGCGCAGGCGTGTATAGTACAGCTTCTACGCATGCGCCACTACGCCACATGGCTACACAGGATTTTCAAGATGGACGTAGTTTAAAAAGGCTTGTGAGATATTTTAGCTGAGATTTTCGAATTAAAAACAGTTTTAGCTTTCCACCATCGACAGGGAAAGGTTATACTGACCTTACAATATGGGGAAAAATAAGGTATGTGTTTAACTTGTACAGACTGTGATGCATTAGTAGCCTCTCTTCATGTTTAGGAGAATGTTAATGTCGTTATGTTGATTGTCATTTAGCGTATGAGGAGTTTTTTCAGGTTAAAACTCATCAATTAGCAAATTACAGGGTAATGTATTACAAATCAAAGGTTAAGTTAATCTATGATTTGGCTGTTTTCGTCTTATAGACTAAGAACCAGAAGAAAGCCCGTGGAGATGCGACACGTGTGGCGGAGGAGAGTTACTCAACTGTCCCGCACACATTCGTGTTTCACCGCGGACAGGTCGGCAAGAATGTCGGACAGCTGATGCTGGACATGAGACGGGTCATGGAGCCTTTCACTGCCAGATCTCTAAAGGTAATACGACACTGCTCTGCATTATTTAAAGGCTTTTTTTGCACTGGATTCACCCTCATGTCATCATTGAGATCAAGTTAGTTTTAAATTCACACATTTATACCTTTTCCTTAATACAATTGAACAAAAATATGCAAATTCTTAATGGTGAAGTCCTTTAAGCAGCCAATGACTATCAAAGTACAACATTGTTCACAGTCAAATGAATAGTGTTAATGTTGTTTTCAAGTCATATTTGCATGTGATTTCAGACCCATTATTCAAAGTACCATGGTAAAGAATATAGGAAGAATGTCACAAGCTGTCACCGAATGAATGTGTGAATATAAAACCAACTTAACCTCAATCATGTCATCCAAGATATAGGGGGAATTCTACCAGAAATGTACACTATCTGTCCCACAACTAAATCATAAATGCAGTGAATAAAAAGTATTTCATCCCAGAAATTTCTCAACTGGATTGGTTGATTTCTGTGAGTTGTTCTGTACAGCAATATGTCATTCATTTGGTTATCAGATTTTTTGTTCTTAACTACTTTACAAATTTACAGACCTTATCATTGTGCCTGTCCTCAGCCCAGTTGAACCAACAGCTTTAAAAGTTTTGTTATGCTAAAAACTCTCTTTTTTGGGGGGAAAAAACTTCAGGAATAGCAAGTTTAAGTTATCATTCACATCAATTAATTAAAACATGAAATTATTTTTTAGAAATTACAAATAAATACTATATATATATATATATATATATATATATATATATATATATATATATATATATATATATATATATATATATAGCTAATAAATTTACAATTGTCCTCAAGTTTTGCTCAGTCCTGTCACATCTGCATTAAATTTAAAATTTTTAAGCCTTTTAGGCTATGACTCAAAGGAAAGTGACATTTATTTGATGGAGAAGCTGGCAGTGATAAAGGATGTGTTCAATCACTGAATTTTATGGTTTTATGCTTGTTTTTGTATGATTTTTATAAGGACAACAAGCTATAGGTCAGACCCTGTCACAGTTTTTATAAGTGAGAATGTACATTTCTGGTCGAATGTCTCATAGGTTACCGTTTTCTTCAGTTAAAACATTTTCAGATTTTTAGCCAAATTGGGTAATTTAGTGATTTTGCAGAATGCAAGTCAACATCTACTGATGCTTTGAGAGTCAATAACATATACACACCAAACATAATGAATACCCATGACTGTTGACAATACGTTGAAGTTCATTAAAACAAAATAATAGTTCTCTGTGATAAAAAAC